CAAAGAGGGTTTGGCTGTGATGTTTGGCATCAAGCGCTTCCATAAATATCTCTATGAAGGAAGTTTGTCAGTTGCACAGATCACAATTACTGTCACTTTTCAAAGAGATGAAAGCAGTGCCTCAGATGGCTCCCCCCCGCATTCAATGTTGGGCTGTAATGTTGAGAGCTTATGAATATGAGATTGTTTATAAGCCCGGAAAGCAGCACAGCTATGCGGACGCGCCGAGTCGACTGCCTCTGCCTCGGCATCCCACAGAGGAAGAGCTGGAGGACTGAGTGTTGATAATGGAAGACATAACGCTAGTGTCGGCGAGGGAACTGAACAGGTGGAAATGCAAAGACCCTGTGTTGCCCAGAATGCTACAGTTTGTCCATCATGACTGGCCTCTAGCAGACTGATCCCATTTTCCAGTCTTATGTGGTAAGAAAAACAGAGCTGAGTGTGCAAGATGGATGTGTGTTGTAGGGATCACGGGTGATAATCCCTCCCCCAGGATGGAGTGCATTTCTACACCAGCTGCATCATGGGTACCCGGGCATCACTCGGATGAAAGCATTAGCGCAAAGTTATCGCTGGTGGCCAGGGTTGGACCAAGACATTGAAGCAGCTGTGAAAGAGTGTCAAACCTGCCAACAACATTGCAACTCACCTGTTTCAACCAAGCCCCCACAATGCAGGTCTGAAATTGAAACCAGTGCAGAAGTGAAACAAACTGCAGTTCAACCCTCATCCGCTGTGGGTTGGTGTCAGAAGCAAGCAAATCCTCGTTAGCTCCCATGTTAAAAATACCAATTTCACAGCAGAAATAAACATGTTTACAGCCTGGTTCCAAAACATGTTTTTGGTTTAATTGATCTAGTTTACACTCATGACAACTCTGAGGGGGTGAATCTTTTTGGTCACTCTTCTGTTTAAGTGTATTAAATGCCTAAAATTCTGTATAATTAATGAGCTTCAGACCCACGTGGCCACAGAGATCGCTCCAGGGAAAGGCCTCTGTAGAGCCTCAGTCTCGCCTGAAAACTGTTCCGCCATTTTCAGTTCTCAACTTAGAACATTAGTTGTGCCGTTTGTGTATTGTTTTTTGGATATTATTTGTGCAATTGTTGGACAAAATGACTTCATGTGGTATTAACTGCACTAATAGAGCGTCCAAGGAGTCTCCACTTCATTTTTTTCGGTAAGTAAAATTATATTTATGTATTTATGTCGATGATTTTACGTCACTGTTGCTCTTGCACTAGCTGAGCTTAGATTTTAACATGTACTGTTTAACCATGAAATTTAAATGTAATAGGGTTAAACCCAGTGCATTTAACATAAACGCTGCATTTTAGAAAATTGGTTGAAATATAACATGTTGGTGGAGCTGGGTTCCCACTATCGGTATGGTCTCCTCCCCGCAGCTTGCCGCATCTCTGATCGCCGCCGCGCTTGTCTGCTGCGCGGGCTGCCGGCTCTTGGATGGAAACCAATGTTTTCTACCCGGTTCTCCCAAGTGGCAGCTCTGCGCATCTCTGATCGCAGTGGCGCTTGTCTGCGGGCTGCCGGCTTGTGGAGCTCTCGGGAGACCTCTGTGTTCTACCCGGTTTTACCGGTCAGCCCGGCGTATCTCTGACTCAGAAGCTCTGGTGTTGTGCACAGTTAACTCTGGCTGTAGCTAGGTTGCTACCTCCGTTAGCTTAGCTCCCACCTCCGTGTTAGCTTTGGGTTAGCTTCAGGTTAGCTTGTAGCTACATTAGCTTCAGTTCAACAGGTGTCGTCATTTGATCCCAGCCTTACAGCCCCACCCTCCTCTCCACCTCTTTTCCCTTTTGTGGAATTGCCTGGGCTTGACTGAACCTGTGACACGGTAAAAATGGCGGTGGTGGCCACCTCCCATTTTTCCTCAAAAACGTGTTATTGGAGTCTATGGAAACCCATTGTCCATATATGTATATGTCAATGGTTTCAACACTACTTCACCCGTGGGAGTGGCCAAGTAACCCTTGGCAGAGACTACATATTGACTATGCGGGACCTTTTACGGGATCCATGTTTTTGATCATAATGGATGCTCATTCCAAATGGATGGATGCATACCCAGTGAAAACAGCTACAACAACCGCTACTATAGAATGGCTGAGGAAAAGCTTCAGCAGCCAAGGTCTACCTGAGACTATTGTGTCCAGTAATGCTTCCTGTTTTGTGAGCATGGAGTTTAAGGACTTTGTGAACAAGAACATCAATGAACACATTAAATCAGCACCATACCATGCTTCTTCAAATGATTGTGCTGAACGGGCCGTCCGGACCTTTAAATTAATGATGAAAAAGGCTGGAGAATTGTAGCGTATTGCTACCAAGGTTGCACAAGTGTTGTTCAACTACCGCCTTACACCACAGTCTACCACAGGAGTATCACCTGCTGAGCTTTTGCAAGACTGAAGATTGAGATCCACATTGGATCTGGTGCACCCTGACCTCAGAGCTAAAGGGAAGACGATACAGCGGATTCAAAAAGAACATCAGGACAGGGGAAGTAAAGAGAGAAGTTTCACACTAGGAGATGCAGTAATGACACGAAACTTCAGTTAGGGACCCAAATGGATTCCAGGATTTATTGTCAAGGTCACAGGTCCACTATCATACAAGGTGATGTTGAGTGAAGGATCCATGGTGAGGAGGCATGTGGACCAGATTTTGGTGAGAGAGGAGAAGGAGTTACTGGAACTTCACACCCCGGAGCTACCGTTGGTTTCTGGAGCAACACCTGAAGCTGCAGTAGGATCCCAGATCTTCATACCAGGAGAGGACAGCCATACGCAGGAAGGAGACGTTGCAGAGGAATCAGTACCTGCAGTGTTGGATATACCTTTACGGGAAGTGGTAAAGGTGACACCTGAGTCACCAAGAGTGGTTCTAAATGTGCTAGGATTAAACCTAGTTACTTGAAGAACTAAATGTGTTAAGAGTTTGCATGCACAGGTTTAGGTGTAACCATAACTAGGTTGGAAGGTTATAGTTTAACAACGAGAATGTTAATAAGTAACTAAGAGAATAGTTGGGAGTTTTTTTGTCTTTTATTTTCATTAAGGAAGTCATAGCTTAAGAGGGGAAGAATGTAACCGGCTTTCAATGCTACTAGTGACCTGTAGGGGCGCTGTAGGCTACCAACGGAACAGTTCTAGTTGTTACCTTCTTTACCCACCCAGTCCCAGGGGTGTAAAGCCATAGTGTTGAAGATGCATGCAAAGGTTGCTCCTGCTCTGTTATATAAATTTACACAACTCTCGAGAACCGTCTGGTCTCTTCATTGTTACAAAAATTTTACAATAATGCAATCAAATGTGTATTTAAACAAAATAGGTGATTTACAGCTTCCAGTGCATTTTGTGACACATTTTATACAGTGGCCTTCATGACAAGGAAGGTTGCAGAACCCTAAATTAATCAAAAAGTAGATTAGCCTAAGCACATTAAATACAATTGTGCAAATAACACCAACACAAACGTTTACTACATTAAGTCACTGTAACTGTCAGGAACAGGGGGCATTGTAGCTTATTGGGGGATATTATGGGATTGAACGGTAGGCTAAATACTTTGACCAAGATTAGATTCAAAGTTTTATGTTTCGCAGTTTTTGATTTTTTTTTTAGCAAAGGAAAAAATATTCTATACATGAAGAGCACGGCTGCCACCTGGCGGTGAATATAAAAGCAACATACCCGTGTAATGACCACAGAACACCGAAATGTTCTTTTGTTTTCTGTCCATTTACTATCATGCATGTAAAGACTAAAAAGAGCTATCATATCCTGATCTGCAGCATCATGGTGAGGAGTCTGCGCTCAGCAGATCCCCACGCTGCTGCACTCCTCCTCTTCCACATTGTGACTTTGAAAGAAGACTGTCATAAATGTGACACAGCTGCGCGCACAAGCGACCAGCTGTGTGGGAAATGTCAAAGGTCCGATCTGTTCCCACCTGGACCAACCCTTCCTTCACTGTGGAACGAGCTGTGCGTCAATAACAGCTGTCCTGCAGCCCCCCCACCGGCTGCCACAAGGGGAGATTTCCGTCCTCGGGGTAGGACTTGAGAGACTTTTATTTCAGGTTCAAGGATTTGAGAGAAGTTTTTTTTGTTATCATTCACCATGACTCCTGTGAGAAGTTGCAGGCTGTAGGGCTGCAGATTGGTCAGTTTCTTTTGCAAAGTTTGGAATGTTTTCCCAGAATATTGTGTTGCTGCAGTGGTGAGTATGCTTTCATTTGTTGGAATAAAGCTGACACATTTCTAATTCTCTTTATTCTAAGGTTCTGGGTGAGTTGTTATTGTAAATATTTTTTAAACAGTTATTGTAATTTTGATGTATGTTTTTCTTGGCTCCAACAATAATGAGGTGCTCTGTAAAGTTCATATAAAAACTGTTACATCAGGAAATGAACTTTTCCCAGAGTGCAAAGTGCAATAGTGGAATATTTCCATTCTGTTTTATGAGAAACTCACGAGTAAACTTAATAGCTTTTATTTTCTCCCCTGCAAAGTGAGCTATCGGCTCTCTATGGGCACATGGCTGTAACATCCAGTGTGGACACTCTGCAGCCTTCTACCCCCCACTATCTCTTCTCCCACCGAGGCAGAGTTTTATTTTTAGCCTGTGTCTTCATGGCAAATTGGCTCACTCTGTGATGCTGTGGATGCTCATAACTAATCATTTCTTTACTGTTACTCTGTGTATCAGTGATATGAGACTATACTGAGGCAGTCTGGCTCCTCACACGTCTATGGATATGGAGGAGGACGAAGGGAGGCGTTCCTTTTAGATGTCAACAGAGAATCTGAAACTCTTATTTATTATAGGATGGTCTCCTTGAAGGCCCAACAGTTGGACTAATTAATGCACATTTCAAGCTGCAATGGGGACCATCAGGTAGCTTTTTAATGTGAGTTTGGTCATGCTTTCAAAATAAATATTTAAATAGGAATCTGGTTCTTGCTGGTCTCTCTGGTGTTTTATCCCATGCATTGTGGGTAAATGAGAACATTTCTGATGTCTTTCTCTGCCCGAGTGTATTTGCGTGTCTTGCATCACATGTTCTTGGACGCAGAAGGTGTCGGTTTTGAGTTTCTTTCACCAAGTGAGTCCATGTGACTTGGCCAGGACTCTGCATTTTCCAGAGTATTTAAAAGGTGAAGTGAGGTAACAGATAAATGCAAGTCTTTAAAAAATGCAATCAAATATTTTAATTGACCAAAACAGAAATGCGATTCTGTAAGCATGTTGCTGATTTTTGTGTTTTGCACACAGAGAGCTCTGACTCTGCTGAGCTGAATATGATAAGAGAGGGCTGGAATATTCTCCACATCTTCATCAAATATAAATGAAAGGCCACGCAGGTCAGTTTGAGACAGCAGGGTTAGGGTTAGACAGAAATCTGTCTAGTAGGTTAATCATCTTAAAAAGCCATATAATACTGTTTAAAAACTGATTTTTCACATCATTATGACCCAGAAATCAATGAACGATTTACAACCTGGACAACAAGACATTTGGTTTCAGATCAGCTAACGGAGAGATCACAGAAGCCATGTGTAGTATGCCCCTCTGCAGTGATTCCTAATAGTGTGACCAAAAGTCAAAAAGAAATGTAGTGTTTATATTAATTAAAAAAGCTGTTTCACCTGATCTGCAGTTGTTATGCAAAATGTGCAAACATGTTTTTATTTCCTTTTTCCAAGTTCCAAGAGTGGTCTGATGTCAACAGAATATCACGAAGAATAAACTTTACGAGGTCTTTAATCTTCATTTCAAGACAATGTCGGTTTTGTGGCTCCACATACATTTTATTTGATGAAAAATGGTGGGAAACCTGCCGACTCCTGCAATTAATTGTGTGGACAATAGCATATTTCCTCTGAGCAGAAATTCAACATGTGCAAGTGTGAAGCACAACTGATTTTTACAAAAGAGTGAAAGATGTGAAGGCACCTGTTTTCATGTGGCTCCTGCAAGGTTTGAAATGCAGCATTAACTGTTGAGTATTGGGTGGAGAAGAAAGCTTCCAGAGGGCAAATCAGTGTCAGGAATTGACCCTTTGAGAAAACAAGAGATGGGAATTGTGGCAAATGCCAAAGGAGATCCTAACAAAAGTCATATTTAACTCTGAAGAGCTGTCATTTACAGATTCACTACACCCCCTGAGTGGTGTAAAGAGGGGAGGTTTGTTTAAATCTCTACTTTACCCAGAACATTTTCTCAGTATTTCCTGCACAAACAAGCTTTCATTTTTTTGCACATAAATTTAAAGAAAAAAAAATCAAAGTCTGCATTTTTGACTTCAGCATGATTTATTTAGAAGCACCCGTAGGTTTCTGGTTAAATGCAACTCATCATAAAAGCTAAAGCCTGCTTTTTGCAGTGATGAGTGTTGGTACTCACACTGGTTGTGATGAACAGATGTCTGTCTACATTACAGCTCTATATCTTCAGCCTGAATGTCCCAGCTCATGTGGCCTTTGCTCCCATGCAAGCTGATATATGTAACTGCAAGGTTAGGCTTCTAAAAGCTATACTTTCATCTCTTTTTCATTTGTTTACATCAGTTTGGCTCATTAGAACTGTTATGCAATGACTTGTTTCAGTTTAACTATGAAAACATAACCAACACTAGAAAGTAAGATGGTATAATGATCCCAAAGGAGATTTATATTTTATTTGTTAAACTGATTAGCACCAAGCTATGAGACTACAACAGAGATTATGCCAAGATTTCAAATCCAAAGACATCTGTTTATGTAGTCTCGAATAGATACCCCCCCCCCCCCCCCTTAGAAATTTCACAGATGATCTGATGTAGTGTCTGTAAAATAAGCTAAAAAAACCCTCAATAAGAAAACAACTACAACAAAGTGTCTTTCATACCTTATATTTCCTAAGGTACTCTACAGCGGCTTGTGGGACACCAGCTGGAGATCATAAAACTAAATAAAATGTAAAAATAGGTTAATAGTAGAGCTGGGTATTGACTCAAATTTCAAGAATCGATTCAATTCCAATTCTCAAGGGTCAGAATCGATTATCACCATCCGATCCAATTCGGTCTGTTCCAGTTCAATATTGATATATGGGTCAGTGGCAGCCTAGTGAACTAGACCAAATTCTTGCTTTGCAAAGTTTGGCCTAGGCATGCTCCATTGGAACCTCTGCAGCTCCTTCCAGGACTCTGGCTAGCCAATCACAACTCTCTAGAGGGGTTTCAAACACATAAAGAGCTGTGACTGGTCCATAATGGTGGGCCAATCATAGTGCTCTATCTGCTTAGTGAACAAATCACAGAGCTTTATCCGCTTTGTGGGCCAAGCAGGGCACTCTATATGCCTGGTGGGTGGGATGATGCAACAGAGTGAAACAAGAGTATGTCACATTCATTGTCCAGTGGAATGCGGAGATCATTTGAAAGACAACGGTAGAACCCGCCCCACAACCGAGAGCCGTCAATGGAGCGTGGCCAGACTAAATAATACATTTATTTAGTCTGGCTTGCCAGGCTAGGTCAGTGCTATAACGTTTATTTTCTTTAGCTGTCACCTTATGCCTGTAATTCACTGATGCAACTCTGGGTGAGTTACAGTTCACTGGGGGAAACTGTATTAATGCTTTTGGACCCGAACATTAAAATGGCCTTCTGGACTTTTCCTTCCAATTTCTGCTGTAAAAAGCAACACATTCTCACACCCGAAGCATCAAAAAATGACGATGGGTGACCAAGCATTCGTTTCTGACACGTTGAGAACCTCAACGCATCAGGAGGCGACGCGCTGTGCCAGAGTGTCGGCTTCTGAATGCTCGCGGTAAAATGCACATTTCACCGACTTTTAAGCTCTAACATGTTGCTGTTTAACCTACCCCTCACCCCCATCCTAACCATAACCTGGTTGCTCATTCTAAACTTCCTGTTAACCATGTTTGGGAGGGACGTTACAACTCGAAACAAAGTTTTGAAAGTGCAAGAGGGTTAAGGTTAGGATTGGGGTGAGGGAAAGGTGAAATAGCAAGAGGGTAACAACGGAAAACAACGCTCTGGCACAGCACATCGCCCTCTGACAACGCGACGGAAACTAACGCTTGGTCACCGAGTCTAATATTTCGACACTTCAGGTGTGAGAATGTGTTGGTAAAAACACCAAACTATGCTAAACAATTAAATAGGTTGTTGGACTCTATTCAATTCTTGGAATTTTTATAAGAATCGATTCAGAATCAGTTTTTCTATTTTATCGAGACACTGGCTAAAGCACCATTTTGGCTTCAATGTCACAAAATAATTTTTTTAATTGCTCTTAAATGTACAAAATAGGGTAAACCTTTGTTTAATAGGGACAGTGGCGCCGTTTTACAACTTTTACCAGCTACATTTTGGGTTTTATTGTTGTTATATTGAAGAGTTTGGGAACAACACACCTTTTCTTTGCAACTTTAAACTCCAAATAGGCCCGAATTCACATCATACGTTAACTTGGAGATAAAGAATCTCACTTACCAACCCAGAATATATTATTGTTGTTAATAGCTTGGCGCTTAAATATGGAAAACCCATGCTAATGACTGTAACACATAAACGTAGCTTGGTGCAGACGTATCATTTACCTAACTGACGTGCGAGACAAGGCTACAGCTTCCTTAGTGGGACTTTTCCAATGTGTGACCAGGCTTCTTTATAAATGGACGTTTGATTGCTTCAGCAGTAGCATCTTGATGTAATGTAATCAGGAAATGTTCCCTACTGAGAAACACATCAATGCTCAGGATGTGTATTTTGAGTTTGGCTAACCTTTGAGAGCAGAGAGACCCAAAGACGGGAAGCTGAAAGGGACAAAAGACGGAGATGTAAAGTCAGATGTGCCTTTGTAGTTTTAGGTGACTGATTAGACCATAATGGAAGGGCTTCAGGGGCTAGTGAGAGGCGGTGTCTGACGTGTGCTTTGGTAATAATGAGCTTTGGTGAGTGACGGGGTTAAGATGAAAGATTAAGAGCTCCAAGTGTCACATAGCAGGATGGCAGGGGGCCTGAGAAGTGTTGGGTGCAGAGGCCGAAGCTCGGTGTGTTTGGGGCCCCTTGCAGTACAGAAGAGTCAGCTCAGTAAGATAAGCTGGCATGCTGTCCTGTTTATCAGAGGGATGTGAGGCGCAGAGCGAAAACTCAACCAACGAGGAATGAGCGGAGTCATCGGGCTTCTGTAACGCGACACTCTGCCTTGATTGCCTGCAGCAGCTGTGCAGCCACTGTATCTGTGCGAGCATGTGCATCTCTTTACAGGCGTGTAGGTGCACAATTTTATGTTGGTGAGCAAAAATCTTTCCTGCATTCATGTTTGTAATCACCTTTCAGGGTAAATGAGTCTGTCCCATCATCTCAGCTGACTGGGATGGACTCCAGCTTCTTGCTGATTTATGTTTTATTCATCTATAATTTTTTGTGAGATTTTGCACATTTAAAATTATGAGTAGGCAACGGTTTGCAAATAAAAATCCATTTTCTTATGAGCTACCATCCCTTTTTCTGTCTGACTGGCAATCAATAGATTTTGGAACATTTTAAAGTGCTGATAAACAAAAGTTAGTAAATATTTGATTGGTCCCATAGAGACCGTTAGCTTCTCATTTGCTTTAAGTTTTAAATTATTGCGACTCAATTTCAAATTCAATTCAAAAGAGTTTAATGAATTCAATAAACAAACTAATGTGTTGTTTACCTCATTATTTAAATTTTGTCAGAGTGGCTGTAGGTGACTATAGATTAATTTCTGTTTTTTACCTCTGAAAATATCAACATGCTATAAATATCCATACTTCTTTAAGAAACGTATTGTTTTTTTTTAAACATGATAGGAACAAAATAAATAGATTTTCAAAAATTCTACCAAATGTGTAAATGTGTGGTGAAGTTGCTAATGCTAACGGTTAGATTCTCCTAGTAAAGACGTTCTCTGCTGTTTCCTGTATGCTTAAACGACAAGTGAGTTCATGAATGTTAACACTGTAACATAGATCTGTCAAGATTTTCTAATCCTAGTTTCATCGTCTATTTTCTATCAGAAGCTAATGCAGCAGATAGGTGTAGGAGACTATTTTCATTTTCAGCCTGAATGGAAAACTCAGAGTGACTCAGAAATAATCATTAAAAAAAGGGTTTTCAGTGTTCCACACCTTTAAGCTTTAAAAAAATCCTCATCAATTTTCCCAGAATCCTCACATTATTCTCAGAAATCTGAGAAGAAAACTAGTAGAAGCTAACCATTAGCATTAGCAACTCCACAACACAGCAGAACTCCTTCAGGCTTGTGTTGTTTGTGGAGATAAACCATCTGTGTTGCAAAGCAAACAGAGTCAATGGCATAGTCACATTTCTGTTAGCTAATCAGAGGCAATATGTCCAAATATCAGGAAATATTTTCCAAATCCTGTCGTCCAAGCTCTCCTCTCACGTGGCTCGCTTCTACTTCCTGAAAATAGTGCACCAGCCCCATTGTACGACTTACAAGGCATCAATTCCTACTAGGGACCATTGTAAATGCATTAATTGAACGCGTGTTCCATTCATTTAAATAAGGATGATCAAACATTTTATATGAAGGTGTTGGAATATTAAATATTAATAAATAATAAACTAAATAAATTTAAATGCTTAAATCATATAAAAACTAAGGCTCTGTATTTCCATTTCCTCCTCCAGCTGCTTCTAGGGACTCCCCAGGGTGGTGGTCTCCCTTCGCGATGCAAAGATGGCGACCCTGCTCCCTTGCCCTGGCACCGATGTCTTCCGCCCCTTTACCCGGGAATCTCTGGTGGAAATCGAGAGGCTCGCGGAGGAAAGGAGGAACGCAGCACAAGTAGAAAAGGAGGACGGAGAACCAGAGGCTCCACACCGTGATCTGGAGGCTGGGAAGAATCTGCCTCTTATCTATGGAGACCCTCCTCCAGAGCGGCTCAACACACCTCTAGAGGACCTGGACCCCTTCTACAAAACACACAAAGTCAGCCTGAACTCTCTCAGCTAAAACACACAACCCGAGTGAACATATTTGAGCTAATAAACTCCAGATCTGCTTAGGCAGCCGCATATATGGCATTTTAATAGCTTTAGTTCAAGTTAGTCATCCCTAAATATTTAATAAAAATTCTATTTCAGAGATATTTTAACTTATATTATCTACTTTCAGACATTCATTGTGATCACTAAAGGAAACACCATCTACAGGTTCAACGCTGAGCCGGCTTGTTACATGCTGAGCCCCTTTAGTTTGATCAGGAGAGGAGCCATCAAAATTCTCATACATTCATATCCTTTGGCCAGTTTTACTCAAACTAGACTGAACTTGTATTCATGAATCTTACTCTAAAAAAGTACATCTGTCTTTAAGCCTGTTTCCTTAATTCTGACTTAAATTATTTAGCATGTTTATCATGCTTACAATTCTCTCCAACTGTGTGTTCATGACGATGAGCAACCCACCAGCATGGAGTAAAACGGTCGAGTGAGTACGTTTATTCAAATAACATCAACATATTTCTGTCTTTGGTCGTTCCGGTGATTTCTTTACTTTGACCTTTTCTCTCCAGGTATATTTTCACTGGTATTTATACTTTTGAGGCAACAATCAAAGTGTTGTCCAGAGGTTTCTGTGCTGGTTCTTTTACATTCCTTCGAGATCCCTGGAACTGGCTGGATTTCATGGTGATCAGCATGGCGTAAGCATCTTTGTGCCCATCACAAAACAACTTCACGTTACAGTTTGGTTTACTTGATTTTAAGTAACGTCACAATATTCAACACCCGGTCACAAAAGGAGATGCACGTGTGCTTGTTCGTTTATTTCCAGAACCACTGGACAGGTGGTGAATGAATGAAACTCTAAGAAATGAAGGCTTGGGTGTACGTTTACTGGTCATTAACCTTTTTGAGTCAACCGGATTCAGTCTGGTCGTCACCATAGCTAACTAACATCAGCAGATTCCAAAATGGCAGCAACTTGTTCAGTTTTACAGATCGAGTGGCTGAGAGTTCTGTGATGCACATGGCAGAAGGATCGATTCATAAATGAACTAACAAATGAGATATGGTGCCTAATAGCAGAAGCGTAGGGTAAAGTAATAATTAATATCACCAGCAACCAAGGAACTTAAAAACAACATAGTCACAATAACACCCATACAATGTGTTCTCTAATAAAAACTATTTAAACCAGGGGTAGGCAATTCTGGTCCTGTGGTGCCTCTGTCCAGCATGTTTTAGTTTTTCTCTGTTCCAACACACCTGATTTTTATCAGTAGGTCATTAACAGCTTCTGCAGAGCTTGATAACGTGGTAAACAGGTGAATCAACCATTCAATTAGGTGTGTTGGAGCTAAAACGTGCTGGATAGCGGCACTCCCGGACCAGGATTGTCTATGCCTGGTTTAAGAAACCGTGACTTAATTATTATTTTTGAAATTGATTGGTAACTGAGTTTTTCATGCAGGCTGAACATGAAAATAGTCTCCTCCATTAGCTTCTGATAGAAAATACACAGTGAAAATCTAGGATTTCAAAGGCCTGACAGATCTATGTCATGCTGTCACTTAACATTCATGCACTCACCCATAGCATCCAGGAAATAGAAGCCAACCATTAGCATTAGCAACTCCACCACACAGCAGAACTCCTTCAGGCTTGTGTTATTTGTGGACATAAAATCAACAATGCAGAGCAGAATCAGCGGCAGAGCCGTGGTGCTATTAGACAATCTGAGGCAAGATGTCCAAATGTCAGGAAATAAGACCATAAATCCTGCCGTCTGAATCTACTTTCTCCTCTGGCTGAATTATCCATGCTGAAATAGGCACACCAGAGCTTCCCCCTCAGAGTACAACTTACACGGCATTAATCCCCACTACAGTAAAATTATGAGTGAAGGCTTTTTTTTCCTTGCAGATTTTTGTGACATTTTATTTAGAAAGTTCAGTCGTCACACAGCAGCAAATACACTGCATCACAATTAGATATCAGTTAAAGTCTAATTATATTTTATCCTTTGTCTTTTCATAGTTACATCACTGAGTTTGTTGATCTTGGCAACGTGTCGGCCCTCAGGACGTTTCGTGTACTTCGAGCCCTAAAAACAATTACTGTGATCCCTGGTAAATTTTCTGCTTTATTAATCTTAATCTGTCATGGCTTGCATTTTATTTTTGAAGCTACACAATTGCAGAGCCTCGGCATGTAGCCTCAAATTATTTAAATGTTATTTAGCAGAGCTGGCTGACTGTCAGTGTCTGCTGACTTGTATTTTCCCAGGTCTGAAAACAATCGTGGGCGCGTTGATCCAGTCGGTGAAGAAAATGAGTGACGTCATGGTTCTGACCGTCTTCGCCCTGGCGGTCTTTGCTCTCATCGGCCTTCAGCTTTTTATGGGAAACCTGCGTCAGAAATGCATTCGCTGGCCCATTCTGATGAATGAAACTGAATTTTTCATTACCACCTCTGATTTTAATGACACATTCAACTTCAGCACCATGAATGATACAGTTTATTCCAACAGCACTTTCAATTTTACTGAATATATAGAGAACCCAGGTGTGTTTACATGTTTATTTCTTTCAGGACAGTTTGTCTTTATAGTGGAGTTGATTTTATTTTCTCGTTTTATTTTAGACAATCAGTATTTTCTGGAGGGTAGCAAAGATGCTCTTCTATGTGGTAACAGCTCTGATGCTGGGTATGTTTTATCCTCTGAATATCTGCTAGACTTGTTTTATCTTTCTTATTTTTGTATTCTAACATTTCTTGAACAGCCAATCTCAATTGAATGTTTATAAAAGTGTGATAACTTTCCTTCTCTCTTGATAGAAAGTGCCCTGAAGGATACACATGCATAAAAGCAGGGAGGAACCCTAACTTTGGGTACACCAGCTATGACGCTTTTGGCTGGGCCTTTCTGTCCCTCTTCAGACTCATGACCCAGGACTTCTGGGAGAACCTTTTCCAACTGGTTGGCACATTTTTCAATTATTTCATGGGTCATATCTGTCCTCCATTGATTCTAGTACATCTACAGGTGGAAAATTGTTTCTAAGTTTTTGTAGCTTTTGCTTTGCTCCTAACACAGACGCTACGAGCAGCAGGAAGGACATACATGCTGTTCTTCGTGGTGGTCATTTTTCTGGGCTCCTTCTACCTCATCAACCTCATCCTGGCTGTGGTAGCCATGGCTTATGATGAACAGAATCAAGCAACACAACAGGAAGCCATTGAAAAAGAGGCAGAATTCCAACGTCTGCTAGAGCAACTCAAAAATCAAGAGCAGGTAAGAAAAGAGAATGGTTAAATAGAGTTTAATGGTTTGGTGTTTATGTTTATTCTAGTTTGTGTCTGCTAAATTTATGAAAACAAACCAAAAAAAACAACTACAAACAAATTGTGTTCATTCTTCTGGTTTTGTCAAAAGCAGCCCTTAAAGACGACGTTCACAGAGAAACGTGTCTGAAAAGTGATCGGTCACGCTGAGTTTCACATCCAGGCTGAACGTGAAAATGGTCTTCCACCCAGTTCTTGCATTAGCCGGCAAAATAGACTTGGAAACAGTCGGATCAGACTAAGCCACACAGATCTACATCACTGTACATTTGCATTCATGTACTCACCCACCGTGGCTCGAGATCAGGAAGGCTGCTGTTGGTTTGGTGGCCAGGAGAGCTGGCACGTAGTGGCTAGCTAGCTGTTATATTCTTTGCCTGACTGAATTAAAACTTTTTGTATCAGGACCTAACATTTATTAAATATCTTAAAATACAGTTTTTGCTGTGATAGTATTTTTGAACAATCCACCTACATCAGATTAAAGAGTGGTAAGAATTCAGAGTGAAAGTTTTAGCTTTCCTAAATATGTGCTGACAGAATTCAAACAAAACCAAGATAAAATTTAATCACTGCCTCATCGAGTTATTGAAGTATTGAGTTGCCACAATTGAAACAGTTCAAAAGCTCCAAGCATCTCTCCCCTGTGAGGAAAGAACCAGGGAGGTTTAGGTTGGCCCGGCTCTGACCGAGCTGCAGCTAGTCGCGTACCGGATCACGGAATGAAACCCATCATAACCGTTAGCATTAGCAAGTCCAAAACATGGCAGAACTCCTTTAGGGTTGTGTTATTTGTGGAAAGAAGACATTACTGTTGCAAAGCAAACAGTCAGTGATAGAGATGCATTGCTGTTAGCCAATCACAGGAGAGATATCTGAGTATCATGAATTATAACAAATCCTGCCGTTTTCTGCCCCCCTCTCGTCCGGCTAGCAACTTCCTGAAGCAGGAGTGCCAGAGTTAATTTATCCGTAGAGAATGACTCAGAAAGCATTCATTCACACTTGAGTTCACAGCAGATTTATTAAAATAATGAGTACATGGTCACTTGAACAGCTACTACCTCAGCTAACTCATTCGATCCATAAAGTCTGCAGCTCTGGAGCTTCGTGTGGCTCTTCAGTCCCTCAAAAGTGGTTTCCTGTAACTCAGAATAAAAATGACTACGTTTAAATTTAGAATGACAACATGAAACAATAGTTAGTTTGAAATTCTACTGCAGAATAACAAAAACATGTTTAGTACAAGATTTAGTTAAATATGTCTCAAGGGCTCACCAAAAAGTTTTTACTTGCTCTCTTTTTGTTCATGAAACTTTATCAAAAATGTTTACGTGAAAGCTAACATTTTACATGTTAGGACCAATGACTATAGAAAATATAAACATACCACCTGCATCGTCACCAGGTTTATGAAGAGCTGAACTGAAGCCCAGTCGCTGAGAGCGGGGCTGTGAGGGTGGACCAAGATGCCCAACAAACTCTGAGATGATGTAGCTGTAGAACTATTCATGTATTCATTTCTGCTTAACACTAAAAAATCAGAGTCACATTGGAATTTAACTTTCAATTTTAAGTCAAGTTGATTTATGGTTTAAGAAAAATTATGTTCAGTTAGAGAAATGTTTTAGTTATAATGTTTATGGTTGTTCTGCAGCGTTGTGATCGCAGCAAACTAGTTCCTACATTTTATTTTTGTTGAAAAAAATTCACCCCTTTCAAATAAAGCAGCATAGAAAATCACATCATTTGAAATTAACCAAAATTTTCATCTTCTGCTGAATAGGCTCAGATTCATGGAAGTCGAGCGACTCTGGCCAGTCAAAAGTCCGCGTCTGAAAAAGCAGATGATGAAAAGACTTCCTCACATGGTGAGACTGTAAAGGACTGCAATGGGAGGATCATCCCTCAGTTGCTGATCAGAGCGCCCACCATGGATGAGGTTAGTCGGTCACTCAAGATAACCTGTTACCAGAGACTCCTCATTGTCTTTTCTTATTTTTATCCATGTCTATTCAGAGACTTTCTAATCATATTCTATAGTCTGCTGTAGATTATGAACTCAAGGGCAAGTCATCGGACTCGCTGCACAGCACGCTTCATGTGGATCAGCAAGGCCTGAAACAAAGATCTGCGAGTGCTACGACTATGCTTTCAGCCATTGCTATTGAAGGTACGGGGCCTACAATCCCTTAATATGAGCTACGTATTCTAACATCGATTAATGTTACAGTTGGAGCAATATTAATGTTTTTCTTCAGGCAGTTTATTTAATGGTTACAAAGTGGCATTTTAAAGAGCCTTTTGATGGATAAGGAAACAGATTCAGAATCTCATTGGGCTGTGAAAATTGATGACTTGTTGGAGAAAATAATTTATGGGGAAAATATGCAAAGTTTCTGTTGGAAACACAGAATTTACTTAATTGTCTTTCGTGTTTTGTAATTTTAGATAATGGTGTAATTATTATTGGAGTGTTAAGCCCTTTGGTCAGCCTTTTTGTTGGAAAGTGCTTTAGAATTAAAGCTTAATGATGATGATGATGACGATGATGATGATGATGATGATGATGATGATGAAAAAGTATTGATCCAGATCATGTAAAGCATAAAACGGCATTACAAGAAAATTCCTGCAGTTGTCAGTCAAATATTTGTTCTGCAAATTATAAACTGAATACCTTAAAACATATAAGTTCACTGAGAAACGTATCAAATTTGTTCAGTTTGAAATATGATCGGGGCTGCACAGTGGTGCAGTGGTTAGCGCTGTTGCCTTGCAGCAAGATACTTCTGGGTTCACATCCCAACCTGGGGTCTTTCTGCATGGAGTTTGCATGTTCTCCCTGTGCATGCATGAGTTCTCTCTGAGTGCTCCGGCTTCCTCCCACAGTCCAAAAACACGACTGTCAGGTTAATTGGTCTTTCTAAATTGTCCTTAAGTGTGCTTGATTGTTTGTCCTGTGTGTCTCTGTGTTGCCCTGTGATGGACTGGCAACCTGTCCAGGGTGTACCCCGCCTGCTTGCCCAGAGACTGCTGGAGATGGGCGCCAGCTCCCCCTGCATGGACAAGCGTGTTGTAAAGTAGACAAGGCCTGCTTCATCAGTGTGACTCCCATGACACCAGGAGGAAGCGATAATTATATTTTTATTAATAAATCACTGTTTAACAGATTTACTTCACATTAAGTGAAAGAGGGCTCTTCTGAGTGTCTGAGGAATGTGTGATGTCCGAGAGTCTTGCTAAATGGCCATTTTACACGTGTTAGATTCTGATTTGTCTAAATCTGTAAACAACAATTAATAAAAGGAACAATTACTCTAAAAGTTAGTTTTAGCAAGACCCTCAGACATCTCAGACACTCAGAAGAGGCCTCTTTCACTTAATGTGAAGTAAATCTGTTAAACAGTGATTTATTAATATAGTTATATGTTAATATGCTGATAATAAACCATTATTAAATTTAACAAGTAGACTCATTTGGTGTGTTTCAGATCTGAAATAAGTCGTGTAATAATAAACATTTACGTCGATTCATTCATTCCTGTGATGCAGTCAAGACATTATTAAAACACTTTAGATAAAACACTCTTTGTTTAATTTAATTGTTCTTAACCTGTAAAGTAAAGAAATCATTTTATGAGCCAGAATAATTTTTATTAAAAGGGAGTTAGATAAAAGTCTTGTCTCCTGTTAGGGGACCTTGGCTTTGTAGGCCCGCTAAGTCAGGAGATATTTCATTATCGCTTCCTCCAGGTGTCATGACACCACCGGTGTCGATAGTGGCACACTGATGAATCAGGCCTTGTCTACGTTACATATCCAGTGAAAGAAATCATTTTATGAGACCAAAATAAGAATAATTTTGTTGAAAGAGAAAAGTTTCTCTCCTGAAGAGATTTGTGAGTTGCAGGCCAGATAAGGGAGTCAGGAGAAGGAATTTATTATGGCTTCCTTCTGGTGCTATGCTCGGACGACACTTCTGCATCAGTCCTGCCAGCTAACCCTCCCCTGACCCTGCTGAACCCCAATCACCACTACTTTGACCAAGCTCTCCTTGAGGGCATACGTCGGTATGTATGTCGGTGTGTACGTCGATGGCAGCTCTTCTTGACACAGTGCTGAACTGAATTCAGGCGTGGGTGTCGTTTGGCTGAACTCTGACCAGAAGTGCTCTTGGTACCAGCTGGGCCCTCGGACCTCACAATTCGCAGAGGTAGCTGGGATCCTGATAGACTACAACTTGCTGCTATTCGTGATGTTCGCGAACTGGTGATCTGCATCGACTTGGACTGCACTAGACTTGACTCAAAGAAAATGGATGGATGAAATATGATCGGTCACGCTGAGTTTTAAATGTGTGCTAAACATTAAAACAGTCTTCAACCCCTGTTTCCTGCATTAGCTGCCAAAATAAAATAGACGGAGAAATGCTTGGGGACAGAAAAAGACAGGCTCTATTATGTCACATATAGAAATATTTGCAACCATGGACTCACACACACATTGGCTTGTAACCACAGAAGGCCGTTGTTGCAGCCAGGAGAGAGCAAAGCGTGTCTTAGCTAGCAGAAGCGTTGCAAATGGAGGCAGCCGGAGAGTGGCATTAGTGTAAGCCAATCGGAGGTTGGGTATTTCAACATCATGAAAATTAATGAGTAACCAGCTTAGTGGCCTAGTGGTAGAGTGTCCGCCCTGGGACTGGGACATCGAGGTTTAATTCCCAGTAGGCCCATACCAAAGACTTTAACAATGGGAATCAATACCTCTCTGCTTGACACTCAGCTTTAAGGAGTTGGATTGTTGTTAAACAACCAAATAGTTCCCGAGCGCAGCCACTGCTGCAACTCACTGCTCCTCTCCATGAGGATGGGTCAAATGTTGAGATAAATTTTACCAGTGTGTGATGATGGAACTTTAAGACACCAAATCCTGTTGTTTTCCACCCCCCACTCCTCTTGAAACAGAAACGCCAGAGGTTTTCTTTCCACTGAAAACGACTCACAAGCATCCATTCAAACAGACTACAGCAAATGTATTTTTCAACAGGAGTGAATGAGAGCTCTATTCTCACTTTATTTACAATCTGGTCTCTAACCTCTCTTAAAGCTGGCTTTTATTTATTGCACAACCCAACACCAAATAAAGAAGGTTCAGATGCCTGTGACAACTTTCTGACTATTTAGAGAGGATATTAGTTTTTCTATTTGTTTTGCATGTAATAAATTCCAATGACTCAATAGCTTGGTTTTTCAACTTGTCAGAAACCAGTGAGCATTTCAAAACTTTCTGGGGATCTAACTCTCTGGCATTTAACTCAAGTAGAACCTGCCATCTGTAAATGTTTACGTTTGAATTTCTCCGAAAACATTATTGAAGCTAAACTCCAGTTTAATTGGCATTTCAGGCACTGCCCTGGATTGGTTTAGGTCATACTTTTGTAACAGGTCTGCTAGGGTCATGTTGGACGGCTGTTCATCAGAGTCACAGCCTCTACGTTGGGGTGTCCCACAAGGTTCAATTCTCGGTCCGTTACTGTTCAACCTCTATATACTGCCCTTAGGAGCCATTTTCAGAAAGCACGCTGTCTCATACCATCTTTACGCTGACGACTGTCAAATCTACTTTTCATTTAAGCCAACTCAGTCAACGCAAGTTCTGTCTGATTGTATCCATGAGGTCAAGCAATGGCTAGCTGACAACTTCCTCCATCTCAATGACTCCAAAACTGACTTAATCGTTTTCAGTCCTAACAGTATCACGGCAACTCAACAACCTGACCTCAACTATCTCTCACCTAATGTATCCTCTGTAATCTCCAACCTTGGAGTAAAAATGGACCAGGCTCTGAAGATGGATGCCCAGGTCAATAACACAGTTAAATCATGTTTTTACCAACTAAGACGCATCTCAAAACTAAAGCACATCCTGAGTGTACGTCTTCTGAAATCGGTGGTCCACACTTTCATCACCTCAAGGCTGGATTACTCCAACTCCTGCTTATATGGCATCAGTAAAGCAGCTCTCTCTAGACTTCAGCTGGTCCAGAATTCAGCAGCTAGGTTGCTGACTGGAGCTGACAGAAGACAACACATTTCTCCAATTCTGAAATCTCTCCACTGGTTGCCCGTGCAGTTCAGGATAAACTTCAAAATTATGCTTCTCACTTACAAATCCTTGAACCATCAAGCTCCTCCATATCTGTGTGAACTTGTCCATTACTACAACCCGTCGCGTGCTCTCAGGTCTGAAGATAAGCTCCTCCTAGCTGTTCCCAATGCACGTTTAAAAAGCCGTGGAGAGAGGGCTTTCTCTGTCTGTGCACCGAAGCTGTGGAACGCATTACCACTGCTAGTGAGGCTAGCACCAACAGCTAGCATTTTTAAATCACGCCTGAAAACTCACTACTTCAACCTAGCTTATACAACTTAATTATGAACCTCACTGACATCTGCACTGTTTATAAACTGACTCCACAATTATCGACTTCCGTATAATTGAGGTTCTTTGTAAAATGTTTTTTCCTATTTTTACTTCACCCTGTGTCTTAATGATTTTTAGCTGTTATTTTTGGGAATTTTGTTGTATTTCCTTTTTATCTTTTATCTGTGTTCGACATGTTTATATAACGCCTGTTTAATTAACCAACATTTTTAGTGTACAGCGCCTTGTTTGGTTGTAATGCCTTGTGAATGTGCTTTATAAATAAAATTGGATTGGATTGGATTGGATTAATGTTTGTTTTTGCTGGTATAACCCATACTTGTAGCAGTATAATCTCCCATGCTTTCGTTCTTTTTTAAACACAGAAACAGTTTTGTTTACCTGTTTGTAGCTACAGTTTCGCCGACAGCTGCCGGCTTCTTCAGGCTGACGCTGATGGTGGCGCGTCACTTCCTTCTCTGTTTATCTGCGGGCAGCAGAGGACGTTGTCGCCCTCTAAACGGAGAAGGAAGTGACGCGCCACCATCAGCGTCAGCCTGAAGAAGCCGGCAGCTGTCGGCGAAACTGTAGCTACAAACAGGTAAACAAAACTGTTTCTGTGTTTAAAAAAGAACGAAAGCATGGATTTACAAAGACACAGCAAGAACACATCTAAGATGTTCAAAGAGTATAATCTCCCACCAAACAGAGCTTCCAGTTAATTCATAACTCAACCCCAGTAATGACAATATACGGCAATTAAGCAATATCACACTCGAGGTCGTGCATTGTTGCTGAATATCAGCACTGATGTGATTCAGTCGTAGGCACTCGGCCTGCGGCCTCGTGCCGTAGATAATCACACCAGTGGTGATATTCAGCAACAACGCACGACCTCGAGTGTGATATTGCTTTTATACAACAGTTCTACCTGCTCATTTTATTTTTATAACAACAATAAGCAACAACAGATTATGATTTGTTCATTTATTTAATCATGTATTAGGCTCCGCCAACACAAATAGTCCCAACACGAAACGGAGACTCAGACAAGGCTGTTGCTAGGCAACACCAACATTTTCTACAATAACGGTTAGAACGCCTGTGCACAGCGGAGTGATACTGTTTGTAAACAGTCCCAGTGGGGTTATAGTCCAATATCAGCACTCTTGGAAAGTTTCTTGACCAGTCAAGTCACTCGGTCGGAACCAACTGTTGTATAATAGTTTATATTCTAACTTGCAAGTATGAACGAGTGGTTTGAGTTTTATTTTTTCTTTCTGCTGTTTTTCTGCTTTTATCGTAACAACTAACAATTTATACATGAAAATCATGAAAATGAACGAGACTGCCCAAACATTTTCATCTTGCTCTGATTGGATGTTTCTACTAATTTTCTGTCTTAAGAGACATTTATTACTTGTATTAATATTAATTGTTCTGCTGTTTTTGTTGTGCAGCCCTCAGCTCTTCTTGTTAGTAAAGTTATCTATTATTACAGTTATGTTGACACTGTCAGCAACAGTAGCAGTCAAGTCGGATACTGGCTGTAGATGCTTTAATAAACACCATAATTGGTTAGATTATCAAATGCTGACAAGCTTGGTCTAAGCTTGTCACAGATAAGTTAATCACACCATCTGCAGCTGAGATCCCTGTCAGCATTTAGGGTCATGCCCTCATGGTGCTAAGCCTCATGGCTTTTTAATCTAAGCACACTGGTGCAGCAACACTGGTATGAAATCAGGCACCACACATACATGAGCTGATTTATCAGATAGATGAAATCAACCCATGTGATCATGTATGCCAACAACTGTGCTTTAGACTTGTGTCTTTAGACTTGTTTTTTGCATATAATTTCATCTTCTCTTGTTTGTGTGTGTGTGTAGAGTTGGAGGAAGCTCAGAGGCCGTGTCCACCATGCTGGTACAAGTTTGCAGACATTTTCTTGAAGTGGGACTGCTGTGTGCCCTGGGTTGTCTTTAAAAAGTGGGTACACTTTGTGGTCATGGACCCTTTTGTTGACCTGGCGATCACCATCTGCATTGTGCTCAATACCCTTTTCATGGCCATGGAGCATTACCCAATGACCCCAGAGTTTGACTACATGCTCTCAGTAGGAAATCTGGTGAGTGTTTTACACATTTAATTCAGATTTACAGCAGTTAAACAATTCAACATCCCAAATCTTAATTTTGGAGTTTTCTTCATGCTTTTTAGGTTTTTACTGGGATTTTCACAGCTGAGATGGTTTTCAAGCTAATCGCCATGGACCCTTACTACTATTTTCAAGTTGGCTGGAACATTTTTGACAGCATCATTGTCACTCTCAGCCTGGTGGAGTTGGGGTTGGCAAACGTCCAGGGTCTGTCAGTTCTTAGGTCCTTTCGTTTGGTAAGACATGATCATTCTTTTTCTTTTTACACTTTGGAGAGTTGGCTTGTTTTTGCTGTGGGTTGTGTGGAATTATGCTTAGTCAGCAATTAAGCTACTGTCAGTGATTTCTGTTTGACAAATCAGGGAAATATTCCAAAAAGGATGCAGTCCTTACAGGCAAGCATCAATCAGACCAGAAATGGAAGAGTCATTTGTTTGGAGGGTGGCTGCAGCTTTTTTCTGCTCTTTCTGAATCATCATTTAAATGCAACCGGACTCACTGTTTCGCCCAGACCACCCAAAAAGTTCTGCATTGTGTAAGTGACGAATGACTCAGGAGTTCAGGTTCAGCCTACTGACGGCATTTTTATTCTGCACAGAATGGGATAACAGTTCAGCAGCAGTGAAAATCACCCAGCTGATCTCAGCTCATTTCCCTCTGTGGGGGGTAAATATTGTTGCTTTTAAGCTTAATATACTTATTTTACTTATGACCAATAAGATATGATATTCTATATAAATATAGAGTATCAACCTGATTGGTCTTTGGATGTTTAGTCAGAAGATTCTAGGATTCTTTGCTTTTTCAGTGATCAAACACGCTTCGTACCAATTCAGACAGAGTCAGGTTTATAAAAGGCAAGACATTTATTTTCTAAACAATTAAAAACAAGACAACTAGGGAACACTTTATGTGATGACTGGATCTAAGTGGATGGAATGTGAGGTGTGATGATGTGTGTGAATGTGATAATATCAGAACCTTCGTATCTAGAGAAGAACTGAGTTCTGGGTGTGAAAAGAATTTGGTTTGCATTAAACTATGAAGGTGATTCTTATCAAAACCACATCAGATGCAATTCATGCTGTGTCTGCCTCACCTTTTTTGGAGACCCTCTTCGCGGATCCGAAGGTCAGGAAGGTCGGATGACCTCTGGGCGCCGAGGTTCAGTAGACTAACCGCAGCACCGACGCTCCAGTCCAGAGATGTCACCCGAGTCACAACAGATAGATGAGATCGTTTGCGTCTAGAAGGACTCTCAGGGAGTCAGAACTGTATCAGCTTTGTTCTGCAGGAACCATTTGCTGTGTCAGCTTCAGCATGTAGCAGGTTTTTGACAGCTTGTCAAATGATGCTCTGGGCTAAAGAGGTTTTTGCTCCGGATGGTCGGTCCGTAGCTTTCTCTAGAACTGACTCACGGCAAAGTGAGCTCTGTTTTAATGATCGCCATATTTTGATTACCTGGCCAATCGGGACGTGCCATGTTAAGAGGTGTTACCAAACAAACCTCAGAACATTACACCTTCTTTCAGATACAGGACGCTCTGATTTGTGGGCAAGAAAATATTTATGAGCAGAAATTACTTTAACTTTAATTAATCTCTAATGAACATTGTGTCTGAGTGTAGATAATGATTCACTTGTTAAAGCAAACATTACTGATCATAACACCAAAATGTTTTGTTGTAATAATAACATTAATTTCAACCACAGTAATTTAAGCAAAGATTAATAAAAAACATTTCATTAGTATTCATATAACATTTGTTCATTCAACCATATTATTATTTAATGATTATTTAACTTATGAGTTGTAAACGTTTCTTTTTCATGAGAGTGAACAATCCTGCAGCGTTATCAAAAGAAGGCTTTGTTTGGGAACACAGGCTGACATCTTGTTCCTCCTGAAATGTCAACAAGATTTGCAGAACCTTGTGGCTTGTTGGAAGATAGAATGTAAAATCCACCTTAGAGGGTGGAAATAGGTCTGTAGATGACCGTTGGCATGTAGGTCAATCTGTAGGTGAAAACGTTACACCTCCATTACAGCTTCAAACCGATTGATTCGGGAGGAAATGACATCACAGGATAAGGCCGTTCAAAATAATAGAACCAAGCATTTCTCAAAATGTCTAAAAATATACTTTTAAAATCAGAATCTTACAACGAACATGAAAAACAATGAACTTAAAACAATTATTTAGAGTAAATACATTAATGTAAATATTTAATTTGTAAATTAAATAAAAATACATAATTAAATAAGTTAATTACATTAAATGAGGAATTTTTGGTGGAACGAATTATGCATTTTTCTTGCCATGCTACATAAACATTGTAGTGGTTTGGTTCCTGCATTGGTGGTTTAAATTTGCATTTACAGAAAAACTGTTTCAAGGACTTTTCCCCAGCATAAAAAAAACTCACTGTGCAAATTTGTGTCATACAAACAAGTAAATGTTTAAAAAATGTTATGTTTACCTCTACGTAGCAATCTGATGACTGAATATTTTCTCAGGTAGAAAAGTACATAAAAAGACCAAACCTTTTGAAAAAAGCCAAATAAAACCCTTCTAACTTTGTATTCTCATATTTAGCATAGGCTAACAGCTAACCAGAACAGGGTCTAATAGGTATTTCTGCCATTTTTATTCCAAAGCAAAAGTTAGACTGCTAAATCAAAAACAACATAGAAGAATAACTACTATTTAGAGAGACGGCACAATCCATGCTGGTTAGAGAGGGTATGTTTCAAGCAGCATTATCTATTAGAAAAACAGAATTATCTATTAGAAAATGGGTTCAATGAAAAGTTAAGTAGCAGTTAGCTTGACTCCTTCATGAGAAATTCTCTTGGCAGATTTTACATCTTTCCCCAACCCAACGAAGGAAATAACAAACTAATTAACCATTTTAGTGGCGTGTAATTATGTGTATTATTTACTATATTTACCTTTTCTGTCTCTTTTTACTGGAAAAAGCTGCGTGTCTTCAAACTGGCAAAATCCTGGCCCACGCTCAACATGCTGATCAAGATCATCGGCAACTCTGTTGGAGCTTTGGGAAACCTTACTTTGGTGCTGGCCATCATCGTCTTCATTTTTGCCGTTGTGGGCATGCAACTTTTTGGAAAGAGCTACAAGGACTGTGTTTGCAAGATCTCATCAGACTGTGAGCTGCCACGATGGCACATGAATGACTTCTTCCACTCATTCCTCATCGTATTCCGAATCCTGTGTGGAGAATGGATTGAGACGATGTGGGACTGCATGGAGGTGGCCGGACCTGCAATGTGTTTTATCGTCTTCATGATGGTCATGGTTATTGGGAATCTAGTGGTGAGTCCCTCAGTGATTAAACCTTGATTATGGGTGAAAGATCCAAAACATGTAAATAAATCAGACGCTTGGCTTTACTCATCTATACACAAGATATACTGTATTTGCAATCGCGCATATTTCCTGCCTTTCAAAGGAAGTGGTGTTTTAATTTAGCTCAGACAGCTTGTGACATCCGACAGTGCTGCTGACCTGAGTATGTGCTAAGATCTTGCTCAAGAGACCACGCTTCTGCTGAGGAAACAAACACAAACAGCTGAGCGACCAGAGCTCTGGTGGCAGGAGGTGATGCTGTTTGTAACAATCTAAAGCTCTGTCCACACGTAGCCGGATCTCCAAAAACAAAAATATGTTTCTATGATTCAGCATCCACACAAAAACACAGATTTATGCAACAAAAACTTATCTTTTTAAAACAGCCAAAGTGAAGAGTTATGTTTTTTCAGTTTTAAGCGTATCTGTGGACAGAAATAACTGGAGTTTAAGGTTTCACAAAATGCTGATGGCCCATGTGCGACCTGTGGAAGACTTCAGAGCTGTGCTCGGGTTTTCAAACTACATTTAACTAGTAGTCAAACTAGGTATAAAACTACATTTTAGAGCAATTCTACCTCCATATCGGTCCACACAAAAGAGCTAAGCGCCATGTTTTATGTTTTGTTGAAGTTGAGCAGAAAGACTAAATGGATAGGAGTCGGGGGAACTACTGCAGTTCTGGCATGTCTATGAATGTGTTTAACAATGCACTTATGCGGTTACATGTTGATGGAGTTTTTTCTTTAAACAAGGTGGTGTGGGTGTTATGTTTTGGGAGGGCATATTAGTTTTTTAGTGTGGACAAGGTCTAAGAGCATATATAATAGAAACAGATAAAGCTAGCTTATTCTTGCTTTAGCATTCTGTTACTATTTTTGCACCATAGCCGATAAGCTTGATAAAAGTGTGACAAACAAAAGGTTTGTCTGGGTGGATATTTGGTGCAAAGTTAAAATGGCCAATCCTTAGGTGGAGCAGTTGGTTTGCACTGTTGCATGGCAGACATGAAATGGGCAATACACTACAATAAGGGTCCCTTTATTAGCATCACTTGGTGCATTATTAGACATTAATTAATAAATCATTAAATAAAGTATCAACAACTGCTTAATATTAATGTTAATATTACGTAACCCCCCCCCCACCCCCACCCCCCCACACACACACACATACACACTCTCACACACACCACCCCCCACGCACGTGCAAGGGAGCTGGTTGAACTTTCACATTTTTAACTGACTAACTCTGACGAGCACCAGGTATGTCAGCTAAACAGTGGCCGCCACACTGAAGTTGCAAGTAGTAAACCTTTATTGCAGACTCACAGTCCAAATTGTGTGATATTCTGGCTACAGATGGCAGTGAGGTCTGTAAAGGGTCATTTTTCCACATATTGGCTCAAGAAAATTATTTAAAAATATGAAAAAGTTGCGTAGTATCCCTTTAAATAACTTCAAACTATCCAACATGAAACAGAGCAACAAAACAAATTTTAAATAACAAACTAAACTCTGTAAGTTAATTATTTATAGACTTAACTATTTACAGGTAAATTACTTAGAAATGCTAAGATAATCACACAGGAACATTTGTAGAGCCTGCCTGAAAAGACATTCTACGTACGCCACGTCTCCTTTGCTCTCATTGAAATGTAACAAATGTTTGTGTTCCACGTGATCAAGTAGTTCCAGCTCAATGAAAGCTCGCTCTCTGACAGCCATTGCTCCTTGAGTGGAAATATTTAACAAGAATAGGAACAATGAAAAATTCTAATATAAACACAATAATCTAAAATTTAAATTTACACATCCTTCAAGACATTTGCACTTGCAAGCTTAAGTAAATAAAATGTAAACTGTGGTCAACCAAAGACATCACTGCAGTAAAGCCCTGCCAGAAAGGGTCTATGCCCCCTACTGTCCTGGTGTAAAGTTGCACTGCAAAACTGGCACACCAACAGTGAAGTATGAAAGGAAAATGTTTCCATCAATACTTGTGCGTGTGTGCAAACGCTCTGATGGAGAAGTATGAATTAGGCTTTTAGAGTCTGACACCTCATCTAGTGACTTTTGGACACCAGGGGCCTCATTTATAAAGCTTGCTTATGCCCATAACGGGGTCGGAAAACTGCGTAAGCAACTTTCCTTGCAAACTTTGGGATTTATAAAAGAAAACGTAGCAGAAAAATGTGCGCAACTTTAAGTTGACTAAGGACCTTGCTTACGCACATTTTGGACATGGAGAGCACCTGCAGTGGTGCTGCTGAAAAGGATAAAATTATGAAATCCTGTAGCATTATCACTTGTACCACTTCGTTTTCACACAGAACAAGACCCCCACACGCACACACATACGCGTGCACACTCACACATGCACAGTCTGAAGCATAGAATACAGGATGCTGAACATCAGCAGGGGGACAGATTGAGACAGAATGTCATGCGTCTGTGACAGCGTGAGCTTCCTGTCACTGTGACCCGATTGATCATGCGCCCTGGCTACATGGCCAAGGGGGATGTTCCTTTGGCTGACTGTTTAGAGCATGTGACTCTCACCTGGGAGTCTGGGGATCAAATCCTGATTGGACCATTTTTTAATATCCGCCACAGATCTCTCTGAAGAACTCAGCATTGACGACTTCAGCAACACTGTGCCACTCCGTGGATTTTCTCTTATTTGTTTTGCAAAAGCACTTCCTTTCATTTTTCCACCTCACCCACAAGTACCTCAATTTCTACTTCTGTGAAATTGTGCTTCCTTGATCTGCGGTCGCGATCTTAATGGTGGAGCGCTGCAACGAGCCAACTTATGTATATGCATGAGATCCACAAGGCACTTTGCATTGACCATTTATGGCAGAAAGTGGGCGTGGTGAGGGCGGGATGTGACACAGAAGCAGCTGATAACTTTTCTAGGTAGTCTCTGATTTATAAAGCGCAGATTGTGTGAAGCTGTGCATACTCCGTGTTTTACAGTTCACAAACCTACTTAGCGTAAGTACATTTTTTTTGCTGAGCTTAAGTAAGGTTTTAGTAAGTTTAGTAAGTTTAGTAAGGAGTCTACGCAATGTTTGATAAATGAGACCCCAGCTTCTTAGCGTCAAGGACAAAGACAAATAAAATATAAACATTTCCCAGTACATCAGCAAACATGCAAACTATTCTTCTATGAAAAAAAAAGAAAATTTGCACATGATCAGATCCCTAGAAATGTTTTTAACCAAATTAAAAGTAACCTGAGTGACTTTTACAGAGAAATTTTGCACATTGCTTTTTGCTCCACCTACACCATATTCTGTGCAAAATCTTTCAGGTTAAAACCTGCAGAATTTTTCAGCTCATTCATTGTAAGATGAGGTTTGAGCAGCAGCTTAGTATTTCCACCAGCTCTTAACTGATTCACAGCCTCCAAACAGGAAAGACGAAGATCAGCCAGTACATGTAACCGTGATAACCTGCTAAACTTGGCAAACAGCAATCAAAAAATAACTAACAGAGTTAAGGATCTAAAAATAGCAGCAGCATGTGGATGCAGACAGTTTACCGATGCAACATCACAGTGCCAATATGAACTTTGAGGTGTGCATTTGAGAAGAAGCAGAACTTTGTGTTGAGCTGATTACATTTGAAACACTCGTACTCAAAGTCTAGTCACTTAAGAGAGAATAATTTGTATATTAGAGGAGAGTTGCATTCTAAAACAAATAAAATAAAAAATCTGTTCTTCTGAAGCAACATTTTAAGAGAAATGTTGCTTACGTGCAATAAATGTATCACCTGTAAGTCTTAGATTCATATTTGAATGCTTTATTTAATCTGTCTGTCTGCTAAGGTGTTGAACCTTTTTCTGGCCTTGCTGCTCAACTCGTTCAGTGGAGACAACCTCTCAGGAGTGGACGACGACGGAGAGATGAACAATCTCCAAATTGCCATCGGCAGGATCACATTGGGCATCAACTGGTTTAAAGCATTTGTTGTTCAAAAAGTCCAGCAGATTCTTGGCCGAAAACCCAAGGAGCCCGACGAGGGCCCGGCTGACGGAGCAGACGCTAAAACAGAGGGAATTGAAATGAACCACCTGGAGACCTGTCAGGCTTTTAACGTAGCAGATGGACTATTAGTTTGCCTGGTTGAAGGCCAGCCATCTGGATTTATTGTGGATGGAGATGCCAGCCTGAACGTGCCAATCGCTGAAGCAGAATCAGATTTTGAAAACCTGAGCGAGTATGACCAGGATGATGATGATGATGAACAAGATGTTGCAGATAAGGCAGACAACTTTGAGAGGACAAATGAGAGAGATATTCAGCAAACTACGGTAATAAATCCACACAACTAAGCTATTTATTTGTATGTATCTTCATAATCTATTTATGTTGATAACAATAAACAAAAGAGAAGCAATAACACGTACATTTGTGACAAGAATGGGATTCTTTGAGAGTTTATAACCGCAAATGTGTTATTTCTACTTCTGTAGAAGTAGCCAAAAGTCTGTAACCTTGTTTTCAAAAAAGTTAGTACACTTTTGGATCACCCAGATAAAAATAAAATAAACTGAACCATCAGTTTCAGTAATAATAGAAATAGAACTCAGGTTCAGGAGCTATCCTAGATTAGCTTCCTTGGGCTATTCTTGAAATGTTCGTTTTTGATGAAATACTTGGCCTTTTGGTACGCTACACCTACTTTTGACTTACTTGTGGAGATGTGTTTTTCCTCAGTAGTTCACATCTAATCTCAACACTTCCTGCTAATTGTTTCTGCTTAGTGGCACTATGTTTAGTGATGCAAGTATGTCTGCCCCACCCTCAACAGATCAGATTAATTTAGTTATTTATTCTCAGAGAAGTCAGCATGAAGAAATCCATCAGATATAACAAATCAAACATGCTAAAACACGGAACTACTTAATTTAAGACCAATTTCCTCTTGTTAAAGATAATCAAATATTGTTTTCTACTTTCAGAGAAACTCAGAAGATGTGATCAGTATCTCAGAAAATATCAAAGTGAGTATTTCTATAATGAGTATTACTTTCATGTAAATTGATTTACAGCAGTTCTCTTTGGCACAGTATTATCTAATCTAGCTTCACTTGTGATTACTCTGAACAGTTGATTGGTTCAGTGAAAGAGGACGACGCTTCAGTGTGCAGCACAGCAGACTATGAGCCTGAACCAGAACCAGTAGAGGAAGAAGAAATAATAGATCCTGTGGAGCCAGAGGCCTGCTTCACTGACAGTAGGAGCAATCACTCAAAATGAAACCAAAACATTGTTTCATTGGCAGTTACATGATCTGAAACGGTTAATTTTTTGTCTGTTGTCAATGTCAAGTTTATTTAAATAGCGAGCCTAAGTCTCCTCCCTTTCCAGTCAGCTCATGGGTGAATGCTGCTTTCTAATCCGCTTTGCCTTACTCTCTGGATTGCACGTATGTTGTACTTCAATTTAAATAAAAAGTAATGATGTGGGTTTCGACCTCGCCAGTCACATACTTTTAGATTTATCAGCTTGTAAAAGCTTGTAATTAGAATGACTACAAATCAGATATCGGTACGCATATCACAGAATCCCCCCACCCCACCCCACCCCCACCCCCAGCTTAGCTGCTACTTACCACATGGCCAGATTTTTGTTCTTAGTCATCATCATCATCATCACACACTGGTGAAATTACATCTCCTCATTTGATCCACCCCCGTGGGCAGCGATGAGCTGCAGCAGTGGCTGCACTTGGGAACTATTTGGTAGTTTAACCCCCCCAATCCAACCTCTAAAAGCTGAGTGTCAAGCAGGGAGGTATTGGGTCCCATTTTTAAAGTCTTTGGTATGATTCGGCCAGGATTTTAACCTCAATTCTCCCAGTCCCAGGGTGGACGCTCTACCACTAGGCCACTGAGAAGGTAAGGATTTAAAGAACTTACAGCAATTTTCCCTCTGTTTTTCTCAGTGTGTGGTTCAATGAAGTCAGGTTAGTGAAGCATATCTCGGATGTATTTTCACACAAAACCTAAAATAACATTTCACCCCCATCAAAATGCATCTTTAAAATTCACGGAAATCGTATGCAAAACCCATGGCACACAACAAGCGGAATTAGAAAACAGCGTTTTTAACCCCATTGACTTGCATTAATTTTTTTGATCGTCCGGGTACCCATGATCTGGAAGTAGATGGGCGTGACTTAGGCTCCCTGTAGCACTTGTTAGCAACCAGGTTTGCCCCAAAGTGCTTTATAGCCGCACTACAATGGATAACAGTGGCAAAGTGGTTGCCCATAACTGGAGGGTTGCAGGTTCATGCCCCCATCTGTCATAGTCATTTTGGGCAAGACACTTAACCTTCCTTGCCTGCTGGTGGTGGTTGGAGGTTGGAACCAGTGCTCGGTATTCTCGCCTCTGTCAGTGTGCCCCTGGGCAGCTGTGGCTATAATGTAGGTCATCACAACCTGTGTGTGTGTGACTGGTTGTGTTGTAAAGTGCTTTAGGTGGTTGTAAAACTATAGAAAACACTATATCAACCACAGGCCATTTTCTTTCTACAACAAAATGGGAACAGAAGTAATAAATGAGTTATACATAAAATGGACTAGGGCATGGGGGGTGGGGGGTGTTAAGATATAAGTTTTACTTGAGTTAAATGCCAGAGAGGTCAAGGGGGCCTTTAAAGGTGTGGATTACTACTTGTCTAATAGGCAGGAATGCCTTGCAGGCAGAATTCAGGGCACAAGAAACCCCACAAACCCCTGGTTCAGCAGGAAAAGGGCTGTTTCTCAATATCAAAGCAACTGACCTTGCAAGGAGATGTCTTGCAAGGCCAGGCGCCTTGCTTACGAGGACACTGTCCTTCCTTGGGCAAAGAAAATGGTTAAATGGAACAGACTTACATCACGTGACTGCGGCTTCCACGGCGGTCATGTAACGTCACGTGACACGGGAGATAACGCTATATATTATATGTATAAGTTTCAATATACAATATATGACAAACTTTACTTTTTAAATTGTGTATAGATTTGTTAAATTAAATATATAAGCAAGTTACTACCCGCTATACACCGAAGCTGCAACTATTAAGCACAGATAACTTCTTTAGATCTAAAAAAACATTTTAAATTAGTTAATAATAATAATAATAATAATAATAATAATGATAATAATAATAATAAATTTTATTTAAAAGCGCCTTTCTGGTCACTCAAGGACACTGTACAGAATAAAAACACAAATCATTCAGTAAGTAAACATACATAAACATGAACAAACAAGGCACTCTAAAATTCAAAGCTGATATGTGGTTATGAAGAGGTGAGTTTTGAGTTGTTTTTTGAATTCTGTGAAGGAGATATTGTTCTTGATCAGAGGGGGAAGGGAGTTCCAGAGTTTGGGAGCAGTTAGCAGTTAGCACTGTATGTACAGTCTATGAGCTGAAGGCTCTGCTCCCCATGGTGCTGAGAAGAAAGGAGGGCACAGAGAGATGAATGGAGGAGGAAGATCTGAGTGAACGGGACGAGGTGACGATGTGAAGGAGATCTGTGAGGTAGTGAGGGGCGAAGTTATGGATGGCCTTGAAGGTGAGAAGGAGAATCTTGTAGTTAATCCTGGTGTGCACTGGTAGCCAATGGAGTTGTTTGAGGATGGGGTGATGTGATGAGAGATGGGAGTTTTAGTAATGATGCGTGCTGCTGCATTCTGAACCAACTGGAGCTTACGGAGGGTTTTCTGAGGGAGGCCTGAGAGAAGAGAGTTGCAATAATCGATACGTGATGTAACCAGACTATGGACAAGAATAGAAGTAGAGTGGACATCAAGGGAGGGGCGAAGACGATTAATGTTACGAAGATGGAAATAAGCTGACCGTGTGATGCTATTGATATGAGATTGGAGGGATGGTGTGCTGTCTAGGATGACACCCAGACTCTTGACCTGGGGAGAGGGGGAAACTGAATTATTATCAACTGTGAGAGAGAAACTGTCAAATTTTGAGAGGGTGTTCTTGGTACCAACCAAAAGAAGTTCTGTTTTGTCTGTATTTAAATTCCGGAAGTTCGAACGGAACCAGGATTTTATTTCTTGAAGGCAGGTGATGAGAGAGGAGGGAGGAAGTGCAGAATGTGGCTTACTGGACAAATAGAGCTGGGTGTCATCCTCGAAGCAGTGAAAATGAATATTGAATCTGCGGAAGATATTGCCAAGGGAAGGATGTATATAATGAAAAGGAGGGGCCCCAGGACAGAGCCCTGGGGCACACCAGAAGAGACAGAAGAGGGCTGTGAGCGGGAGGATTTGATAGTAATGAACTGAGTGCGACCTGATAGGTAGGACTGAAACCACTGAAGTGGGATGTTAGCAATGCCGATGGAAGATAACCTATGGAGGAGAATGGAATGAGATATTGTGTCAAAGGCCGCACTCAGATCAAGGAGGACCAGGATGGATAGTAGACCGGAATCAGCAGCAAGGAGGAGATCGTTAGTTATTTTGAGGAGGGCTGTTTCTGTGCTGTGAAGTGGGCGGAAACCGGACTGGAAGGGTTCATAGAAGGAGTTTAGTGTCAGATGGGTGTGGAGCTGGGTAGCAACTATTTTTTCTAAAATTTTGGAGACAAAGGGTAGGTTGGAGAAGGGGCGGAGATTAGTAAAGATGTTAGGATCCGAACCAGGTTTTTTAAGGGTTAGGGTTAGGGTTAGGGTTGGAGTAACTGCAGCAGTTTTGAAGATAGAGAGAACAATACCGGAGGAAATAAATGCGTGTATGAGAGCGGAGACAAGAGGGAGCAGGGAGGGGAGGCAGGATTTAACCAAGGCTGTGGGAAGGGGGTCGAGAAGGCAGGCAGAAGGCTTTGACTTGTGGATAATATCTGATATCTCAGAATCACTGGGAAGTTGGAAAATGGAAAATAACTGTGTTGGTTCGGGCGGATCATATGGGGAGGTATGGGGGATGCTTTGGTTGATTGCACGGTGAATGTTTATAATTTTTTCGTTGAAGAACAGAAGAAGGGCATTACAAGTAGCAGTAGAGCACGTGTGGGGGCAGAGTATCGGATGGCCGGTGAATTTTATTGATAATGGAGTACAATGACTTAGTGTGCCTCGATTGGAGTTGATTAGACAGGAATAATACTGTTGTTTGGTTAGTATAATTAAGTCTTTCTACTGAGTCATATGATTTTATATAGTTATTTGTGAATGGTGAGACCAGTTTTTCTGTAGAGGCGTTCAAGCTGCCTGGATTTGGTTTTCAGCATCCGGAATTGAGGGGAAACCCAGGGAGCAGACTGACAGAAAGTAACAGAACGGGTTTTAACTGGAGCAAGGGAGTTTAAAATGTGAGCTAACTGGTCATTGTAGAGAGCAGCCAGGTCATCAGGAGAGGAGAGATTGTCCGGTAGCTGAATATTATCAATATAGGAGGATAAAGTGTCGATATTGATGTCCTTTATATTCCTAAAAGAAATGAGCCGGGTTGGTTTGGTAAAAGAAAGCTGGGTTACAATATTGAAAGAAATAAAATAGTGATCAGTGATGTGGAGATCATCAGCTGCACAGTTAAGAGGGGTGAGACCAGAGCAGCACAGCAGATCCAGGCAGTGTCCTTTGGAGTGAGTTGGAAAGTTGATGTGCTGATTAAATCCGAGGCTGTCCAGGCAGGATGAAAAGTCTTTGGTGAGGGGAAGATCGCTGTTTTCCATGTGTATATTAAAATCTCCAAGCAGTATTACATTAGATGAGAGTGTAGATAAATGAGTGAGCAGTACTGAGACTTCTGACAGAACGTCTTTGTGAGGTTTAGGGGGGCGGTAGATTAATCCAATGATAGTGGGGGTAGGTCCATTAAGTTTAAAAGCCAAATACTCAAAGGAATTAAAATCAGAGACAGACACTGGCAAAACTTTCCAACTCTGCGAGAACCACGTGGTTTGGTGAGGTAAACAAACCCGGGAGGAGTAGCATCATTGAGCTGGGAGAAATCAGCTGGCTGCTGCCAAGTTTCGCAAAGGCACATGAAGTCGATTTCACGGTCCTTGATGAGATCGTGAATGAGATGACCTTTCCCAGTGAGAGAGCAGATGTTGAGAAGGCCTAAGTTGACGGTGGTGCTGTCACATCCATGAGCGTTAGCTGTCCTGGCGAGGATGGCTAACGAGGAGTGATCAGCTGTTCGGCGGTATGAGTTCCTGTGAGGACGACGGCGAGTGGTGGACCAGAAAGAATTGATTGAAGAGGAGTTTTGGTAGTGGAAATTCCTGCATGAGCCGCGGTGGACATATCTCCGAAGGAGAAGATGAGAGATGTCCGGGTCGAGGTGCAGTGAAGCCGGTGGAGATCCAGGGCGGTGGCAAATCCTGAGGAGCTCAGCAGCAGTGTGCTGGAGGAAGCCAGCAGCAGGTCGGTGGAAGATGAATGATAAAATCCAGATGAGTGCGGACCACACGTGAATAGCGTTGGTCCACATAATAGAGGTTAGATATTGATATAGATATCCACAGTCCAGTCAACAATCCGATAGTGTCAGTCCAACATATAAAATCAAATAAAGTCAAAGGTTACTGGTGGGCAGCGGCAGCCAAGCGCGCCAGCGTTCACTCAGTCCGGTATATCGGTTTTAGGTTTTGCAACATCACTACGCAAAAATGCTCTGATGCCACGTTAACTTACTTTTAAACTTGAAATTTGGCCCCGAAGTAGCTGCCAGCTCTCAATGTCAAGGAACCTTGCCTTGATGTATTGGTCCCGCCCCAGTTGCCTAGGAGATACGTCATCAGGAACCGCCAAGGCGTGTTCCAATGTTCTACCAAGGCGTCTGTTCTCCATTTGTTAGCTGTTTAGCTAGCTGAGCAAGGATACATGGGAGGTGTCTTGTAGCCTTGCCTTGGTCAAAAATTTCCCAGAATACAGCTCTGTATTTTCTTAAGGATGGCGGATGAGAAGCCGGTAGCTACTTCGGGCGCAAATTTCCAGTTTAAATGTAAGAAAACTAATTGTAGCTATTGGGCTGATATCTAAAATTTTATTTATTTATTTATTTATTTATTTATTTTTATCCAAAGCAGTTATCTATGGTTGATTAGTTACTTATGAGTTGCAGCTTTGGTGGCTAGCAGGTAGTAACTTGCCTACATATTTAATTTAACCAATATATATGCAATATAAAAAGTTAAAGCTCGTTATACATTTATATTAAGACATATATGTATAAAACATAATGTTACTTCATGTGTCACATGATGCCAGTCTGTTTCATTTAACCATTTTCTTTGACCAAGGAAGAACAGTGTCCTTGTGAGCAAGATGCCTGACCTTGCAAGACCTTGCGAGGTCAGGTGCCTTGACATTGAGAAACACCCCAAGTCTGTGACATCAGAGCTGTCCTTCAAATGGGGCTATTAGGAGTCTTATATCCTGTCATCTAGGCATTGCTTCAAATTGGATAAAAGCAGTGAGCACCACCTCACCCCTGCCACGTGAGCCTCAAGGGATAAACCATCAACCCAGCTCAATAGCCAACTTTCTTGGCGGGGTCACCCAATAGGACAGTGGGAGGGTTAAGAGATTTTTTAAATGAGCATGGTCCAGAGCTGATCTAACGTAGAGAGGTAAGTTGTTCCAGAGGTTAGGGGCACGGTCACCTCTGCTTTTTAATCTGTGTCTGGGAATGGTTGGGAGCATCTGGTTATTTAACGTCAGGGTTGTAGAGTGAGAGTGAATGTAATATGCTAACATGCACATGTGCATTTTCTCCTTTGTTCAGAGTGTGTGCTGAAATGGCCATGTTTAACTGTGGACATCACTGACGGCAAGGGCAAGAAATGGTGGAATCTCCGTAAAACTTGTTTCACCGTCGTGGAACATGACTGGTTTGAAACCTTCATTATTTTTATGATCCTCCTCAGCAGTGGAGCTCTGGTGAGAGCATTTTTGAAATACATACCATAATATTGACTAGATACTTAAATATTAAACATCTCGTCTTCACAGGCCTTTGAAGATATCTACATAGAAAGACGTCAAACCATCAAGATCATTCTGGAGTTTGCAGACAAGATTTTCACATACGTCTTTGTGATAGAGATGCTTCTTAAATGGGTTGCGTATGGCTTCAAGACATACTTCACCAATGCTTGGTGTTGGTTAGACTTTTTCATTGTGGATGTAAGTTAAATACCAACATTCTACATCGGAGAAAACAGATAAACACGACTGATGTGAACAGGAAATTATTTGATCCTGCTACAGATTTCCCTGATTAGTTTAATTGCCAGCTGGATGGGGTACTCGGACCTCGGACCAGTCAAGTCCCTCAGAACCCTCAGAGCACTGAGGCCTCTCCGAGCTCTGTCGAGATTTGAAGGCATGAGGGTATGTCCGTTTTACAGGAAATTAGCATTATAGTGAAGATGCAAACCTGTGGTATGAAATGCAGTTTTGTTCTAATTTGGTTGGCTTGCTGTGTTTGTTGAATGCATGCTACACCATGGCTGCCTGCTGCAGTAGACCTGGCCTTGGTAAGTGTTTATTGTTAGTTTGTAAGGGTTAGGGTTAGGGTTAGCATAGCAGTGATTAGACCAAAGTTTGTGCTTGGTTTTGCAAACAAACCAGATTGAATCAAATCCAGGTGTGTTTATGAAATTCACTTAGTCTTTTTGTTTTGGGCAGGTTGTGGTGAACGCTCTTGTTGGAGCAATTCCCTCCATCTTCAATGTGCTGCTGGTGTGTCTGATTTTCTGGCTCATCTTCAGCATCATGGGGGTCAATCTGTTTGCTGGGAAGTTCTACCGCTGCATCAACACCACCACAGAGGAGCTTTTCCCCATAAGTGAGGTCAACAATCGGAGTGAATGCTTGGCCCTTAGAGAAGCCACAAAGGAGGCTCGATGGATCAACATCAAAGTCAATTATGACAATGTTGGACAAGGCTACCTGTCTTTGCTTCAAGTGGTAACAGGATTTTCTCAGTAGTAATAAACTTTTGAAGTAAATGATTTTGGTTTTAAGTGATTGTTGTTGGATAACGTTTGGAGTAAACGTTTTCTATATCTGCAGGCAACTTTTAAAGGTTGGATGGACATTATGTATGCTGCTGTGGACTCAAGAGAGGTAATATCTTTAGTTTCAAATACTAAGTCAATTTAAGAAACATTGCCCCAAAACTTATGGGAAGTTTTGTTTAGTCTATTATTTATGTGATAATCGTAAATCTTTGGAAAGTCAGATAAGTCACCATTGCTAATGGGTACAATGAATGTAGATTGTGTTTCTATGAGATAAGCAACCCGGTGTGGTTTAGTGCTCTCAAAAATGTGTCAGAGTCCCCTGCAATATTTTCCTATTGTTGTTTGGTGTTTTCACAGCAGTGAGTTAAAAAAACAACACCATTTTTACACTATCAATTGTCTTAGTTGCTTACTAATGATCCAAACTTAGCCACTGCAGCTTGATTCCTCCTCATGCTGGTCACCAGTCTGGTCACAGCTAGCTTTGGAATGACATCCCATTCCTTAATCAGGAATTGTTGAAGGGTAACCAGTTTGATGTTGTGTTAGTCACTCTAATGCACAGAGCTTGTCCAAGATGAACAAGTTTTAGTTTTCAGTAAAATGACTATTCTGGCTTTACAACAATATCACCTTACTCTGTATTGTTCTTTGAACATATTTGTTAAGTTCATTCTGTGTTGGTTTTCCAATTCCATCAACTGACATGAGGTTTGTTGCTAAGAAGTATTGTTAAGATGAAAAAATAGTAAGCCAAATTCAAATTTCCTTACTTTATGTGCTAATTATACATCCAATACAAGAGCCAACTTTAGAAAAAGGAAACGGTGACATAACAAAATTTTTAACATGCTACTTTCACCAAAATGTCATAAAATGTTTTTGACCCAAATGCTGCAAGAGAAATAAATCAACAAATAAAAGGAGGGGTTTTCTTGCTTCATGCTTTAGCGAAACTAAACTACATTGAAAATACTATAATAACGACATGTCTTTCTTCTTCATTTAGGTTGGGGAGCAACCATCTTATGAGATCAACCTTTACATGTACTTATATTTTGTCATCTTCATCATCTTTGGGGCTTTCTTCACTTTAAACCTCTTCATCGGTGTTGTTATTGACAATTTCAACCAACAAAAGAAAAAGATGAGTATAACAAAATTATTGTATTTAGAAAAATGTGTTTGTTAAAATGCCCACAATTTAAAAAGTAATTATTGTTTTGTGATTATGTCTGCACTTTGGAGATAAAGATCTTTTTATGACTGATGAGCAAAAGAAATACTATGAGGCAATGAAGAAACTTGGTTCCAAAAAGCCACCGAAGCCAATTCCACGCCCAAAAGTACGTTAATAAGTTTGTGGTTATTTCATTAGTAATAAGTATTGTTGTGTATAGTTTGTAGGTTTCACACTCAAATACATCAGTCAGTTGCATAATTTGACTTCATGAACAAACGATGGAGTGTGGAGTGACAGTCACACACTCCTGAGCCTCCTTGGTAAGGTCTATTCAGGGGTTCTGGAAAGGAGGGTCCATCAGATAGTCGAACCTCGAATTCAGGAGGAATAATGTGGTTTTCGTCCTGGCCATGGAACACTAGACAAGCTCTATACCCTTTAAGGGATCCTGAAGCGTGAGTGTGGGAGTTCGCCCAACCTTCAACAGAGCAGCAGTAGCTCAGGAGGTAGAGTGAGTTGCCTCATGATGGGAGGGTCATGGGCTTGATTCCAGCTCCTGCCTGGAGTATTCTGCTGTTGTGTCCTTGGGCAATACACTTCACCCAACTTGCCTGTATTGGTGGTAGTCAGAGGGGCCGACAGCGCCAAATGGCAGCCTCGTCTCTGTCAGACCACCCCAGGGCGGCTGTGGCTACAAAGTAGCTTGCCATCACTAGCAGTGTGTGAATGTGAGAGTGCATGAAAGCGTCTTTGAGTGTCCTGAACAAGTGCTATATAGGTACAATGATTATTATTATTATTATTATTAACCAATCTACATGTGTTTTGTGGATTTGGAGAAGGCGTTCGACCACGTCCCTCGGGGGGCCCTGTGTGTGTGTGTGTGTGGGGGGGGGGGGGGGGGGGGGGGGGTACTTCTTGAGTATGGTGCACCAGGCCCTCTGATACAGGCTGTTAGGTCCCTGTATGACCGGCATCAGAGCTTGGTCCGCATTGCTGGCAGTAAGTCAAGCTCCTTTTTGGTGAGAGCGAAGGCTGCCCTTTGTCACCAATTCTGTTCATAACTTTTATGGACAGGATTTCTAGGCACAGCAAGTTGTTGAGGGGATCAGTTTTGGTGATCTATGAATTTAGTCTGCTTTTTGCAGATGATGAGTTCCTGTTGGCTTCATCAGACAGTGATCTCCGGCTTTTGCTAGAGCAGTTTGCAGCCGATAGTGAAGAGGCTGGGATGAGAATCAGCTCCTCTAAATCTGAGACCATAGTCTTAATTCAGAAAAGGGTCAGGAACGAGGTCCTGCCTCAAGTGGAGGAGTTTAAGTATCTCTGGGTCTTGTTCATGATTTAGGGAAAAATGGAGCGCAAGATCGACAGGGAGCTGCATCTGCAGTGATGTGGTCGTTGTACCAATCTGTCGTGGTGAAGAGAGAGCTGAGTCAGAAGGCGAAGCTCTAGATTTACAGATCGATCTACGTTCCTACCATCACATTCTTTGGGTAGTAACCAAAAGAACGAGATTGCGGACACAAGCGGCCACAACGAGTTTTCTCTGCAGGGTGGCTGGGCTATCCCTTAGAGATAGGGTGAGAAGCTCGGTCATCCGGGAGGAGCTCGGAGTAGAGCTGCTACTCCTCCACATTGAAGTGAGACCAGTAGAGGTGGCTCAGGCATCTGGTCAGGATGCCTCCTTGACGCCACTTTGGTGAGGATTTCCAATTGGGAGGAGACCCAAGGGAAGACTCAGGACACGCTGAAGGGACAATGTCTCTAGGCTGGCCAGGGAGCACCTTGGTATTCCTCTGGAGGAGCTGGCCCAAGTGACTGGGGATAGGGAATTCTGACCCTCCCTGCTTAGGCTGCTGTCTCTGCAACCCGACTTCTGATGAGCAGCTGAAAATGGATGGATGGAAGAAAAGATGACCAGGCAATTCAATTCAATTAAAGTGTATTTACATAGTGCCAAATCACGACAAGAGTTGTCTCAAGGCACTTCACATGATAAACATTCCTATTCAGGTCAGTGCATTAAGCCAATCAGAAAAGAAAGTTTCCTATGTAAGGAACCCAGCAAATTGCATCAAGTCACTGACTACTTTACAGCAATCCTCATACTAAGCAAGCATTTAGTGAAAGTGGAGAGGAAAACTCCCTTTTAACAGGAAGAAACCTCCAGAGGATCCTGGCTCAGTACAGATCTACAGAATCCACCATGACTCACTGGGGATCGAAAAGACAGAGCACGCACACACACACACACACACACACACACACACACACACACACACACACACACACACACACACACCAAGTCATGTTTCTATGGTTACATTGTGATTTCTTGGTAAGTATTCTATTTGGTGAGAGATAAACTTTATTGTATTTATCCTAGTGAATCTATAATTAAACAGGTAAACTAGTAGTAGCACATTCAATGTCAAGGAAAGTGAAATGCTATTATCAGAAGAGGGAGAATGTTTAAATGAGTAGCAACAGTGTTCAAGCCGATGGCCCCCTTCATGAGGCCACCACAGCTCAGCAGAACATCATTGTAGCTTCTTCTGGGGAGAAAAACACTTAGAGAAAAAATTAAGTTAACAGCTGAAATTGCAGGAAATAATACAGTTAAAGAGCAAATTGTAGAAGAAAGTAGTCAAGTGTGGAAAGTTTTCAGTATGTCCTCGCCTATAGCAGCATAACTACAGAGATAACTCTGGATAACCTAGCCTTTTAGATGGAGGCATGTTGGAGGCAGGGCAAGAGAGAGCCGTCTTTACCAACTGTACACTCCACCTCCCTCTACTCCCCCACTTGTCCAGCTCTAGGCTAACATCAGATTTTAACCGTAAGCCCTATCAAATAAAAATGTTTTAAGCCTAGTCTTAAAAGTAGACAATGTTCATGCTTTCGTTCTTTTTTAAACACAGAAACAGTTTTGTTTACCTGTTTGTAGCTACAGTTTCACCGACGGCTGCCGGCTTCTTCAGGCGACAACGGAGTTTACACGTGTCGCCTGAAGAAGCCGGCAGCCGTCGGTGAAACTGTAGCTACAAACAGGTAAACAAAACTGTTTCTGTGTTTAAAAAAGAACGAAAGCATGGATTTAGAAAGACACAGCAAGAACACACCTAAGATAGACAATGTTGCATCACGGGCTAAAGCTGGAAGTTGGTTCCACAAGAGAGGAGCCTGATAGCTAAAAGATCTGCCTCCCATCCTATTTTTAGATATTCTGGGAACCACCAGTAAACCTGCAGCCTGAGAGCAAAGTGCTCAGTTAGGAATGTATGGAATAATCAGGTCACTGATATATGATGGAGCTTGATTATTAAGAGTTTTATATGTTAAAAGGATGATCTTAAAATCTATTCTGAATTTAACAGGCAGCAAATGTAGGGAAGCTTAGACAGGAGAGATGTGATCTCTCCTTTTAATTCTCATCAGAACTCTAGCTGCAGCATTCTGGACAAGCTGAAGACTTTTAACTACATTCTGTGGACTTCCTGAGAGTAATGAATTACAATAATCCAGTCTTGATGTAATAAATGCATGAACTAGTTTTTCAGCATCACTCCTGGAAAGGATGCATCTAATCTTAGCAATATTCTGAAGGTGGAAAAAGGAAATCCTAGAAACCTGTTTAGCGTGGGATTTGAATGACATGTCCTGGTCGAAGATAACACCAAAGTTCCTTACTTTGTTCTCTGAGACTAATTTAACGCCGTTCAGGTCAGGTGATTGACTAAGCAATTTCCTTTTCTGAATTTCAGGTCCAAAGATGAGAACTTCAGTCTTGTCTTGATTTAAAAGCAAAAAGTTTTGAGTCATCCAATTTTTTATGTCTTCAAGACAAGCCTGTAATCTAACTAACCGATTAGGTTCATCAGGGTTAATGGATAAATATAACTGAGTATCGTCAGCATAACAGTGGAAGTTTATCCCATGCTGTCTAATGATTTTACCAATTGGAAGCAAATATATAGTAAAAATAATTGGTCCAAGCACTGAACCCTGTGGTACTCCACAAGTAACCCTGGAGTATGAAGAAGATTTGTCATGCATGTACATTTACAAAATGAAACATATCAGACAGGTAGGATTTAAACCAGCCTAGCACTGTTCCTTTGATCCATACAATATGTTCAAGTCTTTGAAAAAGAACATTGTGATCTATTGTGTCAAAGGCAGCACTGAGATCTAACAAGACTAGAACAGACACAAGATTCTTATCTGAGGCCATGAGAATATCATTTGTAACTCTCACTAATGCAGTTTCAGTGCTGTGATACTCTCTAAAACCAGACTGAAATTCCTCAAACAGATCATTAGTGTTTAAATGTTCACATACTTGGATGGCCACTATTTTCTCAAGGACTTTGGATAAAAATGGAAGGTTAGATATTGATCTATAATTCATTGGGTCATCTGGAAAACAGTAGTGAAAAAATTAGACACTTTGGCATAACAGTGTCCTCATAAGATCGATTCACAGACTCAACCTCCACATTGATATTGTGAACAAGCAAGTGAGTCTCTTTATCTCCCTCTGATCTACAGAACCTGATCCAGGGCTTGGTGTTTGACTTCATCAGTCAACAGTTCTTTGATATCTTCATCATGATTCTCATTTGTCTGAATATGGTCACCATGATGGTGGAAACTGATGACCAGAGTCCAGAGAAGGAGGATTTTCTTTTTAAACTAAATGTGGCGTTCATCGTTGTCTTCACTGGGGAGTGTGTGTTGAAGCTGTTTGCACTGCGACAATACTTCTTCACCAATGGATGGAACATTTTTGATTTCATTGTGGTAATCTTGTCTATAGCTGGTGGGTATGAGAAGTTGAAATCATTGCAGTCAATGAATTTTATTCTGAGCAGAAAATTAACTTACTGTTTTTTCTGTTATTTCAGGTACAATGCTCTCGGACTTAATCGAGAAGTACTTTGTTTCCCCGACCCTCTTCAGGGTGATCAGGCTAGCCAGGATTGGAAGGATTCTGCGCGTCATTAAAGGAGCTAAGGGTATTCGGACGCTCCTCTTTGCTCTGATGATGTCTCTTCCTGCCTTATTCAACATTGGTCTCCTGCTCTTCCTCATCATGTTCATCTTCTCTATATTTGCCATGTCAAATTTTGCCTATGTAAAAAAGGAGGCTGGGATTGATGACATTTTTAACTTTGAAACATTTGGTGGAAGCATTATTTGCTTGTTTCAGATCACAACTTCTGCAGGTTGGGATGGATTTTTACTTCCAATGCTGAACAGAGAGCCTCCAGATTGTGATCCAACCTTTGAGAACCCAGGAACAGATGTAAAAGGCAACTGTGGCAGCCCAGTAATAGGAATGGTGTTTTTCTGCAGCTATATTATCGTCTCTTTCTTGGTGGTTATTAACATGTACATTGCCATAATCTTAGAGAACTTCAATGTAGCACAGGAGGAGAGCGGCGATGTTCTCTGTGAGGAAGACTTTGAGATGTTCAACGAAACGTGGGAGAAGTTTGACCTAAATGGAACAATGTTCATCAAGTTCAGTCAACTTTCGGAGTTTTGTGACACCTTACAGGAACCTCTAAGGGTTCCCAAGCCCAATCGGTTTCACCTGATTGAAATGGATCTACCTTTAGTTATCGGGGACAGGATCCACTACCTGGATGTTTTGTTGGCTGTTACTCAGATGGTACTGGGAGACACAGTGGAGATGGCAGCCATGCAGAAGAGCATTGAGATGAATTTTACCCTGAGCAACCCAAAAAATGATTCCTTTGCACCAGTCATCACAACAGTACGGCACAAAGAAGAGCTAATGTCTTCTTTCATCATTCAAAGGGCTTATCGCAGACATCTCCTGAAGCGTTGCATACACCATGCTGCTTTCATGCACCGCTCAAAGACAATGGGCAGGAAGGGTGGAGGAGATGATTCTCCTGAAAAAGAGGGGTTGCTTGCAAGAAGGATGGGGGTGCTGTATGGGAGCAATACAGACCTTGCTGAGGAAATGGACCGACTTGATTTACAAGCTCTAGCAAACCAAGAACATCTGAACACAGAAGTGATTTTATGCTGTGATGAAGCCAAATGTCATCAAGAGCCCTCAGAGCCGCATATTGTTGTTCCTGTTGAATTAACAAACGAGGTATTATTATACTCTGCCCCTGATCAACACCTCTTAACTTTATCAATCCTAAAAGAGTCATCTGTATGACAATGAAAAAACAGTTTTCTTTATTTCACTTTTTTATACTATATCAACTAACTTTTTAGACCCTGTTATTGCTCCTATAGACTTGGGATGGGCAATAGAGAAAAAGTACATCACAATTTTGTTTTGATTATTTAAATTATTTTTTATTATTTTTGCAAGTTACAGAACAATGTGTACACACTGCTTCCCTCCTCTATTTTGCAAAATTTGTGGCTTTATTTCTAGTGGCAAGAGTTGTGAAATGCACAGGCAACATCAAAAAATGCCTCATGCTAACAGGTGCTAGTAATGCCAACATATCACCACAAATGGTAACTACCATGACTGCAGTATGAATTACCAATTCACAGTGAAGTTATGTAAACAGAAAATCATCAAGTGAACACATTTTTATAGTTGTTCACTTTCAATTGTCAGCATTGTATTGGGCAAAAGGCGAGCAGGCTTGGAGTGTGTCACATCTAATACAGACGTTCTGAAAACAGGCCGTAACCATATTGGGCTTTTGGATTTAAAAATGTTCTTACTGCTTGCATTTGAGGAAATGCTGCACTGCAGCTTTATTTCTTCTCAATGTAATATTGTCATATCGCCCACTTTTATATAACCCCTAAAAAAATTTCTATTTCTGTAGTAATAGTATTGAAGAGTTTTTTTAGGGTCAGGGGTGAAAATGAAAATCATACAACTAAATCAACATTCTCTTGTGGGTTGCAGGATGTTAAAGGTGTGGGTGAAAAAATAAATTTTTTAGTTATTATGTCTGATTACATTTGTTCACTTGGGAGTTTTTCCTGAAGGCTGAACATGAAAATTGTCTCCTACACCTATCCCCTGCATTAGCTTTTGATAGAAAATATATGGTGAAATGCAAGGATTAGAACAGGGATTCCCAAAGTGTGGTGCGCACACCCCTGGGGGTGCGCGAGCTGCCGCTAGGGGGTGCGCGAGGTGAAAAGTGTAATGGCTGCGGAGCTCAGAGAAGTCTGTCATATGTCACCATTAGCGTAGAAACTCATTTGTGGGTGGGCCAAAGAAAAAGTAAGCGGGCACAATAAATGTAATTGAAAACAAGTATATTTTTGCGCGCGCGCGTGTCCTCCACATGTGCCCTAGCTTCATAATAATAATGCGCCGAGCTTCAGCACTCTGGCCTGCGCACGCCGATATGTTACGTCGCGCGCGCGCGTGTCCTCCGCATGTGCCCTAGCTTCATAATAATAATGCGCCGAGCTTCAGCACTCTGGCCTGCGCACGCTGATATGTTCCGTATTTGATCATTTTTAAAGGTGTTGGAGGAATCTGAAGGTGGCGAGTCATTCTGGCAGATTGTAATTAACACCTGTCTCATGCAGGTGTTCTGACATTGTAAACCTCACACACTGAACATTGTGGATGTAACAAAATAACAAGAAATGATTCCCATTCAGGCTATTGACGCGCTGACGATCTGAAGTTCAGAGTGCGTCTGTCAGAGGTCAGATGTGTTCCGGCTGAACCACGGCTCACGGGTGCACAAGTGAGCACATCTGGGCTGGGCAGAAGGAATTTTACAACACTGGTTTAAATAGCGCGAGACGCGGTGACTTGAGCAGCTGTGCCGCGCGCGCGCGCACACACACACACACACACAGATTCAATAAGCGCACACGCTGCTTTAACTCCGGTGCGCCGTCAGACTGAAGGCAGAAATGAACGCTGCCTCCACCACGATAAAAACTTTTAAGAGGTTATTTTTCATTCAAGGTCAAATTAAGATATTAGCTTCTGGGATGAGTCGGGTCCGCTCCAGCCAGTGACTCCGAACCTGACCACAAGTCCACTGCAGCATTTGTTATTCCGGTCCGCATGACAGCGGATCACAGATTCAGCCACACCATAAAACAGCAATAAGTCGGTCTGAGGCAAAAGTGAACATCATGGCTATATCTTGTCCCCTATTGACATTTGATTACGCACAAGTAGGTGATCAGCTCAGGTTTACGCAGAGCAGAGGGAAGGAGAGCGCTCTGGCCGCACAGGTTAAACGTTCCTACTTTAAGAAAACCGTTAAATTGCATTGTTTATGTGCTACCTGGGCACTCTAAATATTTATTCAAAATGAAATCAAAGGAAATTGTAATGGTATCGAATGCTTATTAATTACTATTTAAAAAATGAAAGTGATGGGGAATTTTTTTTAACCCTTTCTGTTTAGCTTGACATCTGACATATATATATATATATATATATATATATATATATATATATATAGAGAGAGAGAGAGAGAGAGAGAGAGCCATGCCCCGATGTGGGGGGGGGGGGGGGTGCATCGACATGGTCAGGACATAGAAGGGGGTGCGCGGCTAAATAAGTTTGGGAACCACTGGATTAGAAAATCCTCACATATCTATGTCACACTGTGAATTTGCATTCATGGCTTTGCCCATCTTGGTTCACAACTGCCCACAGGAAGGCAGTTTTTTTTTATTGCAGCAAGAAGAGAGAGAGGAGAGTGTCTTGGTGACAGTAACTGCAACATAGCTGACCGCATTCTGTTAGACAATCAGTAGCAAGGTGTGTGCATATCATTAAGAATAATGAGTAATCCTGCTGTTTTTAGCCCACCTCTGCACCAGCCCACCTTTTACTTTTCTGAACAGGAGCATCATAGCTTTTTTAGTTACTCATAAGACATTGATTTACACTAGAGAACACTGCAAATGTATTGAATAAATGAGTAAACCACACCTTTAAGCTGTTTTTCCATGTCTGACAATCATACTAATGAAAAAGTTCCAACAACCTTACGAAGATCTAAATGACAAACTACAACCACTCTATAATAGAAATGTTATTAATAAGATTCTTTTTGTTTCAGACATTTAAGGTCCTGTTGTGAGTTCTTATTTAAACTGACATGTTTCGACCGATGACTGCAGTCTTCATCAGAAGTGTCACAGATGTTTCTGTGATGCGTCTTTATCAGCTGTTCAGAAGAACAGCTGGTTAATATGTTCAGAAGAACAGCTGATAAAGACATGTCACACAGTCATCTGTGTGTGACACTTCTGATGAAGACGTCGTCGAAACATGCCAAGGTAAATAAGAACTCACAACACAACCTTGCATGTCTGAAACAAAAATAATCTTATTAATTATCTAAGAAGAGGACATAATGAACGTTGTAAAGTATATAATAGAAGTGACAATGAATATACATTTGTTTGCAAAAGACTATGATTTGTTGTGATATTGTAAGAATCATATGACTAATTCCTGCTGTCTTTACCATAAACGTTAGCCCTCCTCTTTCTAATTAGATACAAAATTTGTTGGGGGGCTTTTTATTTTGTACATATGTAAATTATTAACTTTTTAAAAAGTCAGCTGATGGTGTTATTCACTGAGGCCCAGTTTATATTGCACTATTTATGTCCCATCCTTGTCAAAATGAGAATAGTTTTTCTTTGCGTGAGTGAAATAATTTCTTATTATCTAAGACAGTATTTTCTATGCATGACTTGAATTATGTTTTATTAGACTTTTTCCTATTTTTCAGGCCCTTTATTTATGGTATTTTCTGTTAACCCAAATCATTGACTTTTAGTGGTCATTTCATTGAATTTACTTTAGTTTTAACACTGTCTCATGTAGACTATTTAAGTGCATTTTGTTCATAAGAGATAAAAGTCACCTTTTTAAATACTCCTATTTAAATCTCCCATTTTTCTTTACGTATTAATCAAAATGCAGCCCTGTGCTAAAGTTTAAAACCCACCCCTAATTCTTTTATATTTTGCCATGAGTTTTGGTAATTGCATGTATAACGTGGTCTCAGACCTTCCAAATGTCTTGCAAAGTTTTCTGTTGGACTTTTGTGGTATTTTCTTCAACTTTCAGTCCATTCCTTTTGTCACGTGATCAAGATTTTCAAAAATAAATTACAATGACAACAGATCATTTTTCAACTTGATATGAACTAAAATACATAAATTAAACTGAGAACTAAGGAGTGGTTCAAGACTTTATCACCTTAGTGTTCTTTGTGTTTTTAAATTCTAACAAACATCATGTTTAATGGTTTTTGCCTGAGCATAGGAAATTTCTTTGTCTAAGTCTTAACTGAATTTCACATGTCTTACTTTGAACATTTGCCACTATGCAAAATGTTTAGGCACTATGTGTATTGAAGTCAACACTGTAAATATAAAGCTGTGAATTTATACCTAATGAACTTGTGTAAAATGCAACAAGAAAAAAATCGATAGTGTTCAGCGTAATGACCCTTTGTGTAAAAAGCACCAGTGTTGTTAAAAGACAGTTATTCACCAAAATGTTTGAGCCACAAACACGTTTTTTAAAGGTGAAATTTGTAAGACTGATTTTTTTGCAATAAAACGTGGTTACTGCAATCAATTATTTTTTCGCAGAAATATACTTAGGCTTCTCACTCCTGCTCTGTGAGTTTCATGGCTGTTCCCAGTTATGGATCAGGACCAGAAGATTCTAGATGATTAGCCAAGACGAGTCATACGCAAAGTTGATAAGTAGATATACACATTATCATATCTGGTGTTAGCCCTCTTGGCTGTTCTACAGTAGGACCACTTACTCCACTTATTATGGTAGTATGTCTCCGGCATTACAGGAAGTGTGGTTGTTTGCCGTCTTGCTGGCAGTTTGCTGTTATACTTCTGAACGACTCATTAAAGAAAGTAAAAGGCCACAATTTACTCATTATTCACTTCAACCACAATTGACTGTTGAAAAAGTAAGAGCTTGACTATTTGCTTCGAATTCATCGTTAGCATTGTTAGCTCAACGTTAGCCTCTAGTCTGCTTCACCTTTTATTAGAGTAAAACAAAAGGTATCTGTGGCTTTTTAGGGGTACAAGAAATAACTTCTTGGTCGTTCCAGTTTACTGGCTTTTGTTCTTTAAATCAGTGGTTCCCAACCTAGGGTCCATGACACCCCAAGGGGGTCCCCACAATTTTGTCAGTGCTGAGATAGTGTGGCTACAAAGATTATATCTGTATTAAATCCAGATAACACACTCAATAGTAAAATTAATACTCTGTGTAAGAGGCATGACTCAGTCTGTATCAAGTTTGTAAATATTAATTTTTAATTGTGTGCATGCAAGTAAGAGTTTGAGTTGGGGGTCCCTGGCTTTTCTTGAGCACATTAAAGGCGGTCCTCGTGAAAAAGGTTGGGAACCACTGCTTTAAACAACTCTGGAGCTTTTTGCCCGTCAGTGATGAATTGCAAATGCCTGCAATGCTGCGTTAGGTTGTTGCAGATTCGGCAAACTCACAAATTCAGTGTACATCCCACTTTCTTTTTTTCCCAAAAGGATGAAAACAGGCAATCCCCTAGCCAGCTGAGAATTAAATCTATTTCAGTATATCCTTCCTTCTACTATCATTGAGACATTAGGCTGTTCTGTGATGATTTCATTGTAGAATTCTTACAAATTGCACTTTAAATCAGCTTCCAGTGTGAATGGATTATTTTAGCAATTATTTCAAGGAAACATACGTTTGATAAAGTTATATACTATAGATAAATACAGAATGATCTAACAACATAAGCATTGCACCATATCAAATAATGATGCTGCCACATTTTTTTCATGATATGTATAAATATTGAGATTTAAAATAAATTACTATTGAGCCAACAAACACACTAAATCCCAACAAACGTTGCAATTTTACACAGATATAGCTTGTATATATTTTTCTAAAGGCAGCAATGACTGTCTAACGTTTTCTTAGAAAATGCTTTTGTTTACATTTTACAAAATGACCCAATTTATTGTAAAACATTATTTTTTTATCCTGAGAAATATCAGGATAATCCTATGTGAATATTTAGCTAACCTTTTGAAGTGCCTAAAATGTTTTGTATGGTAGTGTAA